ATGGGTGATTTGTTCAATTTGTATTCAATCAGATCTATTGTAAAATGGGTTTTTGGATTGACTAATACTATATAGTCATGAATGGTGAATCTGTAACATAATCACAGGTGTACATATTCAAGTATTTGAACAGCTCCAATGCAGTCATGCACAACTGACAAGTGCCAGTAAATCTGATTGTATTAGCTTTTAATCAATATAATTGTTGAATTCGCCAAAATGAACTGTTTGAATCTTGCGACAAAACTCCGAGTTTTTCTTCACACGAACCAGCAGATTTCATATCTCGGCAACTCTCCAGTGTCAATACTCACACAGAGTATTGTTGTCCCTGAGGGAGACGGTCTGTCGTTTCTGGTCTAGGGTTTGCTTACAAGACAGTATTGAGTCTGATTTTACTATTGGAAAACTCATTTTCTGCTCTGTTGTAGATGGAGAAATACTTTATAAAGATCAACCTTTATTGTTTCTTGAGACTTGCCATTGGCAGGGTTGTATGAATAACTACTAATTATAAACTCAAAAAGCAACACTACTACTATGAACCAGCATTTGGCTGAGGCTTTCCTTGTGCTGTACGCAAGTTTTGTTTCTAAACTAAATACTGGTTTATAGTGACGTTTTTTGAGCCTGTAACTAATGGTTGTTGTATGACCAACCGATGAAGAGTCATAAAAGAGACACAAGAGGCAGATGCTCAGAAAGTGTTTTTCTACCCATAATAGAATGCAGTGAGTTTGTCAATAGGAGTAGAGTCAAACAGGTGCAGCGGCTGTCTTGTAAGCAGATATCAAGTCGGCGATAACAGATCCTATCACTCAAACACAGCAATGTTGTGTTTGAATATTGACACTGGAGAGTTGCCGAGATATAAAGTCTCTGCTGGTTCGTAAAGAAATTCGACTCGGATTTGTTACGAGATCCACATTAGCAGGCTATTTTGATGGAGTCGACAGTTATATTGATGATTGATTAAAAGCTAATACAATCAGATTTACTGGCACTTGTCAGTTGTGCATGACTGTATTGGAGCTGTTTAAATACTTGAATGTGTATGCTTGCAATGCAACTCAAGATCGTGAAACACCGTTTGCAGTGTAATGTCTACTAAGGTCAAACCCTATCAGCTCCACAATGTCTATCATATTTTAATAAAAACACTATGTTTTGATGAATTGTTATATCTCGCAACGCCTTTCAAGAGTTAATTCTGCCACGCAAGTCTTGAAATCAGAAAGTCGAGCAATATCTTGTGTGGTAGCATTTTCAGGTGGAGCAGTATTGTATCATCAGAACATCGTACTAGTTGACAGACAAGATTTTGATGACAATGATTTACAATTTGATACGCTTTTGGGCAAAAGTAGTATAGATAGGGTACCGGATGATACCAATTTTCTTGATCAATGATTACCAGTGAATTATGTCCGAAGTTGCCAAAAATAGCAAGTTATCAGAGATGAGCAATCAAGGTCAAAAACAATGGTATAGAACACTGGATAGCTTATAAGTTTGAACTATCAGGAGTTTTCAGTGCCAGACTCACACCAACGCTTTATATAATACATTTTTGATGAATGTATATAAAGCTATCGCAAGTACGGTAACAAAGAATACCAATAGTTTTCATTGAATTATCAACTTAATTTCAATTATTTCTTCATTACTTGTATTAAACAGTAAGAATGAGATTAACGTCACACTTTGACTTGATGATGAAAATACGCAATGTCCAATATGCTTTTCTACAGTAATCACACGATTAATTCAATGCTTCAACGCAACTCATTTTGTCTGTTTGACATGCTCCAAGAAATGTCAACGAAAAGGTTATTGTGCTCAGTTTAAAACCACACGATCGTTCCACAATAAGCTCCTTGAGAAAACCATTAAACAACAAATGATAGCAATTACGAGGTTGATATAACACACTTGACCAACGATACCACACAAACTGGCATAACGTATTAGCTTCCTGATCCAAGTCTTTGGCAGATATACAACTATTTCAATAAAACCAAATGAATCAAATATGTTGAAGCCAACCATTCCCATTGAAGTTATTGACTTGCTGTTTTATCCAAGAACTAATTCCAAAGAAAGAGAGCAGGATGGAATGGATCGATTCTTCCAACAACTACTGGATACAACAGTGACATTGAAGATGAATAGTTTACATGATAATTTCTTTCACATCATCTGAATTAGAATCAACATCGCTCATAACAATTCTGTACAACTTTTCCTGTAATGATTGCTGTTTCTCGATGACTCTTGGCAGCATCTTTATGTTTGCAAAGATTCGATAACCCATCATTTCTAGATTAACCTTCGCATTGTCACAAGTTGGATAATGCTTTTTGAAAAAAACAACTAACCCATAATGTAGTGAATAAATGGTATCGTTTGTTTCATAGCAACTATCGCCTATCATTTCTTTAATCCTTTTATAGTGATTTATGTCGATGCCGCATAATAGACTGGCATTTTTCTTTCAAAGAGAATATTTTGCCTTTTAATAGTTTCGATGGATTAACCTCGATTGGGTTTTCTAGTCTAAACATGGAATCTGGAACATCATCTAACACAACCGCTTCTTCATTTCCAACGTAATTATACGCTACTTTCAACAGCGAATTATTGACACGCTTTTCAACAACTTGATAGATATGATTATTTCTTGGATCGAGATAAATTGTGTCCATTAGTAAATTGTTGATGTACTTTGATCTCGGATTTGAGCAAGGTAAATTCAACATGTTGTTTAAATCTAGTCTAGAAAATAAAAGATGCAATATTCAATCACAGCCACTATCATAGATAGTTGATAAGTTTAATCCAAGATAAAATTGAATATTTAATTTCTTTTCAAATGATAAACAAGTTCATCAGAAATGTCAAACATATTGGAAGAAACCCAAATTCATTTGAATGGAAATGCAGTGTTGATTAAAGGAAATGACAGCACAGTTGGTCTGTACAAGGTTCTTTTTGAAGTAAATGGTATTGAGAGATATCGATTTGCTATTAAATACAAGACGAAAGAGAAAACTAGTACAAACAATTGATTAGTTCAATTACAAATCTGGATGTCGGGCGGGCTAGAAAGGTTAAACTAAGATTCAAAAGCACATTCAAGGGATCTTCAGTGGAATGGACGATGCTAAAGCCTATCACCAACTTTTACAGTTACAAAACAAACAGAAAGAGAGCTGGACAAGAACAACGGTTGTTTTCACAATATCATATCAAGAAATATTCGTTTTGACCAAAATCAAAACCAATTCATTGGTCGAGACACTTGTTTACAAATTTAGATGAATTGAAGTTTACCACCAAAGAGAATCACAAAAGGCAAGCATTAAGATACTGGTTCGATATTCAATTCTGATATGTGCTGAGGAACATTGAAACTGATGATAGAGTTCAGTTTTATTCCTCTGATAATACCTGCTTTAATATCAATGATTCACCACTAGTTAATTCCACTATTGATACGGTACTAAACCAATTGGATGGTGATGATATACTGGAAAAATTGAAGTGTTCAAACTCCAAATGGAGTATTGAAAATATCTACGAATATGTACTTTTAACAACACCCATTCCAGAGGTATCAATAGGCGCATCTGTAATTCTACCTGATTTCATCAAGAATATCAAGAGTATTGTTTCATTCCAGTATGTCACAAATAACCTTTGTTTTTGGTAGTTTTGCTCGTTATAAGTATCCAGAAATCAGATTAGACAGATTATCAACGAAAGCAAAAGTCCATTCGAGCACTACTAACATCACTTTGTCCGAGTGTTGGTGACTTTATGAGGTTGTCACATATCCACTTTTCAATGTCTTGTTCGAGTCCAGAGTCTGATAAAGACAAATCTACAGTGTAAAGAGTGGAAACACTAAACACTTTGTCAAGTTCAGTGTCTTTACTACAAACTGAAAACCAAGACTTTGGCATGACAGAATCTCAAACATCGGCGATGAAATAACCCAGAACTATACAGCATAACGTCTGAGAACATTCTTTCAGTATTGTTGTACAAGAATGAGCACAAAGACCAGTCAACTGTAATGAGTTCGAAATAAAATGCTTCACAATAAGATTGGTACCAAATATGAGACTGTTTATCATGTATCTTGACATTTAGTGTTTCATTTTACATGAATACGACTGTAACAATTAAAAAGCAAAATTCAAGTAAATGAGCGGACACGATCGTTGTTTCAGTATGACATGGATTCAGCTACTATTATTGCTACTATCACCATAGTATTCTTGATATGAAGCCATTCGATCCCATCAGAGCTTTTTTGGACTTTCCAGAAGATGATGATATGTCTACTGAATCGAATTGTTTACCGCAGAAAGATATAGGATCACTTTTACACTGTTACCATACTCCAGCTTTAGCGAATAAACTACAGCCAGCAGAAGTGGCAGCCATTCCTGACATGAGCTATCTGTTCAACATTACTGATACTACTCCAGACCCAATATTCCATTTTCAACTTTCTCCTTCACTTGCGTTGAATGAATTGGGCACAGAAAATGATACTGCAAATCCACTAGTTGTGGCTCAGCATTCTGCTGCACATGTTGCATGCGGCCCGGTTACTCCCCCAGCCTCTGACATAGGCTGCAAATCTCCACATGAGCCGAATTCGCTCACTCATTCTTACCAGCAACTCTCTGACCGTTTAAACAATACTACTGGTGAGTATCTTGCTGCTTTTCTGTACGAATGTTTGGTTCAATTGTTCGACAGGGGATCTCATGCTGTGCGTATTACAGCCGATTCACGTAAAATGGAACTTGTATCTGCAGTCATTTTGCTTTGGAATATACGTTGGTTAAATATTAGAAATTGACTTTAAACATTCGTTGAGAACGGTGTTGGCCAGTAAACTGACACCAATCGTTTCATGAGATTGGCTGTTTATTATGTATTTTGATGTTTTTATCTGGTGCTCCATTTTACGTGAATATAGCTGTGATTACTGATCATTGCCATTTGCACTGAATATGGCTTCAGCCATTGTTAAGCAGTCTAAAATCACTATTATTATTCCTTACTGATTTAAATGCTGTATTATTCAAACAATGTGATACATATAGGCACATTCGATGAGTTTTCCTTGAACCAACATAAATCATTTGGGGCAAATATACCCTCGAAGCCAGACATTTCAAATATTGCACAAAATTGCACACACCCGCTTGCTTCTGCTACAAACAAAAATACAGATTTGTCTTCACCTGCTCTTCCTCTGCAAATCCTCTCGTCGCTAATATGGTCTGCAGCTGAAAATAATTCTGCAAAACTCGTATCAACTGAATTATTCCAGAATGATCAGGCTTCGCAAAAGAAACCCACATCTTGCAATACAAATATTTCATCAGCAACAGGATTCGGAGTATCTAGATTGTTACCACCACAGTTTCCTACAACTTCAGTGACACCGCCAATTATGGACAAACGGCAAGAAAGACTGATGAAGAATCGACACGCTGCTGATTTGTCTAGAAAACGCAAGCGTCAACAGGCCCATAAAATGGAGTCGTCGCTTGAAGAACTACAAACCCAAAACTTGCATTTGACTACTCGCGTTTCTCAACTGGAGCAATTAAATAAAGCGCTGACAGAGGATAATCTACGATTAAGTCGTCAACTTCAAATGTATGGCACTTCTTCCTTTTCATCCAGCCATGCACGCATTCGCACACACAGTGAGGATAGCAGTGCCAGCAATATCAACTTGAACAAAAACTCTTTTGACCATCAATCGCCGCATTCCTCCATCAGGCTTTCGCCATTTCCATTGAGTTTGACCAGTGACTCTTATGAGGATCTTTGGTTTAATCAGGATCTGGATCACACCCACTCTCCTTCAATGCCGTATTCTGATCCAATTATGGGTGCTAATACTAGCATTATTACTGGAAAATCACTTGGTGCCGTTTTCATGGTCGTTATGTTTTCCTTTGCAAGTGTGTTTATGCCCGGCTCTCTTATTTCAAATACCAGGATTCACGCAAGACCGCAGTATTCCACTGCACCTCAAAATTTTATTACATATGTTCCTAGCATACATAATGATGCACATACTTACCGATCGCAGTCATTTCTTACCTTGTCTCCTGCTTATCGACCCCTGATTGATCCTTATTCTTTTCAATCTAATCCAAGTACCATGTCTAACGAGCCTATTTCTGATTACACCCCTAGCACATATCTATCCAACTATTATTTGGATTTAAATTCTGACTCTGTGAAATCTGCTGTTTCACATCTTGCTGATGTTCAATTACCAAAATCAAAAACAAAAACACACTTTCCGAAAAATGATGCTTTAAATACGATTGCACTTTCTCTTGCACGACCCGAGTTTATTGCTTCACTATCCTCCATGGCTACAATGAATCCCCCAAATGCAGCTGGAGTTTTTCAGCGTCTTTTTCTTGAAAATCCATTTTGTAAAGACTCGAAAAATGTAGGTAATGCTAGTCTAATGTTCACAGATGAACAAGAGCAGTCCAATCAGATGGATCAAAAACGTCTCAATCAACACGATCCCACTTTGTCGACTCCTGTTGATCCATATCCTACCTTTTCCTCAACTGCTAACATGACGCTAGCATGGAGTGCTCTATTTGAATCTGAGCAGTACCGCACAATTTTACAACACATGGCTGGATCTTCTTTACAGCATTCCAGAAATTCATCCGATACTTTTGCATATGATTCGATCAAGCTTGTGCCATATCAATCATCTTTTCCAATGTGCAGCAACTTGAACGGGGGCATATGTCGTGTGACAGACGAATTGCGCTTTACCATTCTTGCCGATGTATCTACCACACAGCATGTAAAAGGCAATAAAAAGGAACATGATCTGGGCGGGCTATTGCAGTTGGATGTAGAAGTAGTGTCTGCCAAATGGGTTGGTACGTCACTTTATTAAATTAAAAATGACAATGTCTTGCAATATTTTGTCATGTTTAATCTTCACATTTTGTAGAGCCACATCTTTTAAAAATCAATAAAATATGAATTACAGTCGTATTCCATAAAACAGAACATTATCTTGTAGTCACTTTGCTTTAAAATAAATAATGATTGAGTATTCGTTGTTTTCCTATTGGAAATCGACTTTAATAGGCATTGTCAATCCTTGTTCCAAATACAACCTTTAAATGTCTTTTCTAATCTTTTGGCAGTCATACGTGATACGATCACCAAATTTGGAACCGAATTCATCTATTGCAATACATATATTGGGGTTGAATATTGTCAACCAAAACCCCTTTGTTATACTATAATCTCACAAATACGTTTGTGTTCTAGTTCAAAAAAGCAACCTCGGTAATACAACTATTGTTTCCATGTCAATCATCAGAAAAACTCTCAATCAAATAAAGAGTTCAAAGAGCACAACGCTGTTCAGTAAATTTGGTGAAAGCTGGCATCAATCATTCCAAGATTGACTGACCGTGTTTATTATGTAATTTGACACTCTGGTTTAGTGTTTTGTTTTGCATGAATACAGCGGTGAGAATATTTTACTCGACACGTCTTGTCTTTTTGAAAGCTGCAAATCGGAATATTTGCAAGACTTGAGGTTGACATCTTTGGAAAGATTGCTAGTGGCTTGCTGAGCACAGGAAAAAGAAACATGTACAGGAATTTTGCATGCTGCATGTACAACCGGTCTTTGGTGAACTAAAAGCGTGTTAGTGCTAGGTAAATTAGGGTTTCTGTTGGATTGGATTTGACGAGTTTGTTGACAAGAAGGCAGGTCAAACCTCTGCATATGTCGAGTTTTCAGACACTTTGCATATTTAATCATTACATCCTCATGACCTGTTTGCTCATTAATATCGGTGTCGCTTTTAGCATAGTGGATCACCTCATGTCTGCCTTCATCTACAAACCGATGGTGATCGTTACATCCACCTGACCCAATCCATACTTTACTAACATTGAACTCATCATTAGGAAAGCGCACTTTTTCCAACACAATACCAAGTGCTGGGTTACGTTTTTTCACCACCTGCATGATGGAGGACAGCCTTTCTTTGCATAATTTGATTTCATCTTGAATGTATATATATGCATCTGAAATGGTAGATTTAAGATCTTCACAAGGTGTTGCAGTGAATTTGAGTGTCAAAAGATTGGTGTTGCAAAGTCGAATACGCTCAGTTAAAGTTAGTGTTGCCGATTCAAAGTTTTGACGAGTAGTTTCCATTGGAAGCGATGTGTTTAAAGCTTGCGACGCAAACGATTCCTTGAGCGTAGTGGTAATGTGTGCAGTATGATCGTTGTAATGTGTGTGATGAGTAGCTGGTCGTGCATCTCCAATCTTGATTGCTTTTTTCAGTAAACCATTGGGTGTGTTTTTAACCACTTCAAACACAGCAGAATACCTGTTTTCTACCAATTGGTTAGTCCATATCTAATCAAAAATAGACTGTTTTGTCAATTGTAATCAAAACTTTCAAAATACAATTGAGTTGCTATTTTAAAAACCTGCCTTTCTGGATCTTCCTCAATGCCACATAGATAGTCACCACCAATGACGCCAATAACACCACCAATACCATCAAAAGGATGAAATCCAAGTTTTTCCTCTCGCTCCCGTTGTAAACTTCTTGATGCCAACCATGCTCTTGAACCTTTTTGTTTATCTTCGGCTGTAGTCATCCATCTTGGATCGCCTAGTTTAGTTTCTTTGCGCGCATTACCTTCAATCATTGTATTATTCATCATTTCTAAAAACCGCGCTGGAGTAATCTCTTCGCTCACAAAACTGAAAAATGCATCATCACGTTTGGTAACTTTTATCGTATAAGCCTCTGGAATATCCACATTTCCGACAGTGTAGAACGTAAAGGTAAGAAACTCTGTTTTCCCTTCATTTGAGTGATCTACCTCATGGTGATGAATTCGAACAGGCACGGTTTTGCTATAAACGGCTTCAGGGAGCATTGTGTCGGGTAAAGTTGTGAGAACAAATGCTTTTGTGTGGGTAGATCTTTGACTGGGCGTGATGGTTCGAGAAAAAGTGGTCTTGGTTGGATTGACAACCGATGGAAGGTAATGATCAAGAACAGTTGTCCAGTGTTTGGGCTGACGAACTGGGAAAACATCTGGCTCAAAATCTGGCGACAAAAGCAAAGTGGGTTGATGTCTAGCAACTATATCCAATACATGTACAAGCGCAGATTTGATATCTCCGTGATACTTCTATTTAAAGTGATGTTTATGAATGCAAGGTTGGTTAGAAAAATGTGTTGGTATAAATATTGACAAATATTAAACGTACTTTAGTGCGAGCGTAGTCTGCTTTGATATCTCTAATAACTTCTTGCCACTCTGATGGTACAAAATCGATTGCAAGTAGATCTACTCGTCGATAGTTGCGTACAACCTCGGTAAAATTCAGACTTGCAACAGTATTGAATCGATCAATTTCTAACAAGGCCTTGAATCTTATTATATAGACATACAATGAAATTAGTCTGCTAGGTTTTTGTTACAATATAGATACTATTTAAAGTATATACTAGACTACTCACTGATTAGGATACTGGACACACTCCAAAACACGATCACGTACAAATTGTCCAAACCCATCAAAAGTCTGTGGGAAGATACCTTCAGTCGCAGCTGGCATTTCCCAGTTCATGTCTTTCACCAATGTCGCAAAACTAAATGGTGTGCACACAAATTTCCAATGGAAAAACACATCCTCTGTAGGACTGGTTATAACGAGTTTGTGACACTGCGGAAACGATTTTCCAGTAAGCGGGTAAATCACGATTCTAAGAGTAACGATGCGAGTTGCTGGTGGAGTTTGGGGTGGCTGTCGCTTGTGAAGTTTAGATTGGGCATGAATGGGTTTAGAGCACGATGGTGTATATGAACATGTTGCTGGAAAGTCCCTGACCCACGCGTGTTGCGTCAAGGACGAAGATATATGACTGGAGCTGATACAGTTCCGGTTTATATTCTCAGCAGAAAGCAGTTCAAGTTTGTTATGACTCGGACCTAAAGATATATTTTTATCTTTGTTGGCATTTGGTTGATATGGCTGCTCAAACACTCCAATTCCATGACTGTCGCTTGAACCTTTAGACTCGAATCGAGCCCGTCTTGCAAATGCAAAACTCGGCAAAATGCTGGCATGTAGCGGCGGTGTCCATATTGGACCTTCCGCTTCTTGGTGTGGCATGAACAGTCTTGGTGGTGAGTGCTCCATGTTTAAGCTATTTTTGCAAGTCAGTATTTACAGCTGCATTCACGTAAAATGAAAGTATTTATATCCTGTAGTCGTTATTTTTGAAATAAACAATGTGTAATATTCGTCGCGCTTCCTATTAGAAATTGGCCGACATTTTCAATTGAATGAATACATTGATCATCATATGATGCCCACAAACTATAGTTTTAAACTGAGACTATCCATTCTTGGTACAATCCTAGATTTTACGATTGCCAAACTTTAACCTGAATTCATCTATTGCAATCCAGATACTGGGTTTGATTACTTTGATGTTTCCAAACTTGTATTTGTTGTGTCTTGAAATCACAGATATGTTTGCATTATAGTTTGGAAGAACAAAGATTGCACGTATCAGTAATTCAACCGTTGTTCCCATTTCGATCATCGGAAAACCCCAGTCAACTAAAAAATTGTCAAAACTAAACTTTGTCCAGCTCAAATGAACCAATTCATTTTGCTTATATCTGACTTTATTCAATTTATAACACACGTACCATCCAATTAAAGCCATGGACGGCCAAGAGAACAACTATAATACTGTGTATTAATCATTTGCGCGTCGGTTTTTTCGTACCTCGTGAATCACCTTCTTTTTAAAAAACTCCCAATGCCGTCTCTCCATATATGCTGACTGTAATTGCTCTATTGGAGTTCGATCTAAACTCTGGTTTAACAAAAAATTAATAATCATCCTAGCGCTCGCCAACCGACAGAAATCAATCCTGGGTATTGTCATGACTTCAACTTTAGTTTTGGCAATCACAGATACATATGCCATGGTATGAGTGCTAGAAGGATCTTGACTGGATAAAAACTTGAGGTACTGATCCTTGTCAAATGTTGCATCTGACATCCATTGATCCAGCTTGTCAACATTGGAAGGTATGTCAGGAAAACAGTCATATTCATTAAGCTCCCGAACAGTAAGAGGCTGATCAAGACGTTCTTCGTCGTCTGCAAGGTTGACAGCTGAGTTGTATGGGCGAAGTCGTGTGCGAGTTGTAGTGTGCCCCAATTTGACTCGTTTTTGCACAAATGGAACTATTTTTATACATCGGCATGTGCCTTTGATGATCCAAAAAATATCCAGATTGTCCGTGCCCTCGAGAAGAATCTTTTCGTTGGCGGCATAGGTGATGCATTTGAAAAAGTGAGCGGCTTTTTCCAGAAAGCCGTCGTCAGATGACTTCATGTATGGAATAAGCGAAAGTTGTGAAATTCGGTTAGTGATGCTCCTTTCGTCTGTAGTTTGTGCAATCTATAGGTTTTACGGCAAGCGTTAGCTCATGAAAATCAGTATTTACTCTACAAAATCCAACAATAAAACTACTTTGAAGAAATCGGCTAATTAGAGATTCCATATGATATTGGGTAGCAGAGTTATAAATTTTAGTAAGCCGAGGTCTATCGCGAATATTTTTTGAAAGCACAATTGCCAATTACATTTATTTATACGCAATAGCTCAGTGTAAGTTGTTGTACCCACGCAAGCGGTTCGCCGATCATTGAGCAAATTCATGGTGCGATCACCAAAACTATCTCCAGTATTGAGAACATTGATCTATTCACATATTTATCATATTGAGTTATTGGTTAAAACAGCTTAAACTCCCAAAATGTCTGTCAGAATTCATGATACCCTATATTTTAGTCCATCTTTGATTTTGAAAATCTCCACCTGTCCGTGCAGTATAAAATAAAATGCCATTGAGATATGACCTTCTTTTACCAACAGTTTATCCTATAATGATTGAATCAGTTATGATTAGTAAAATCGATACGCTTGGCCACTACAGACAGTAAACCTCGTCAAGTAATATAGTATATGCGATACCATTGGAAATTTTTCCAAGTACATAATCTCTATAAATTGATATCTCTGATTGAGACTAAATCTAGCAAAGCTACGCAATCGAATAGACAATAGCCGCTCTAAATTAACCAAGGATATCTGACTACGTGTCCGTTGATAAACTTCAATTAGTTCTTTAACCTAAAATAGGCGACAATGTAAACTCAAATGTAAGTTGTGTAATGCCGATACGTATAAAGCACATTAGTTATATTATCACCAAGACTTGCTTTATCTGAAAGTGTTGGATCAATTTCACTCTTCATGTCACGCAGCATATAAGATAAACTAGATGCCTCAATTAGAGGTGCCTCCTGAGTACTTTGAATCCGCTGTGAAATCCCACTATATATACAAGCAAGTCGCCAGCCCAGTTTCATGCAAGCTGCAACTATACGCCAAAGATGCCGGTATAACACACTTTTTCGCCTGGATTTCGATTTAGATGGCTGTAATTGCTTAAATTCATACAAATCTATTGTAGAGCTGGGCATGGTTTGTTGAGTATTTGATTGCACTATACTTTGCTGCAGTTTAGACTGAGACCCAAATTTTTCATAAAACCCTTTGTGAAACTGGACAGATCCACGGGATGATCTTACCATGATCTGCTTAATGGTTGATGCTGTTTCCTTCACTTCCCTTTTTTTCAAAGTCGTGTGAGAAAGGTCCTTTAGTAAATCTGATGCATTAATTTGATTGTTGCTGAATTTGTCAGACTCATTGTCCAATGCACGTAATGTGCAATGGGTTGGATTTGAACACGACTGGGGATTGATTGGGAGCTTGGCCATCTTTATATCAATAGAACATCTACGAGAATTGGCGAATGATTTTGCAGGTGTATAAGATTTTTCTAAAGGCTGACTTGTATCCAGACCATACATAGCAATCGTGTTACTATTATCTGGAGTGTAGGTAGCTGGCTCTTGATAAAGATGTGGCATCGGGTGAAAATTTTGCCTTTTAGATTTGGTATGCTGACTATCAACTATGATACTGCCTTCAAGAAACGATTGCTCAGGATCAATAATGCTCTGCATCGCAATATCTGAACTTTGGCTTGAGTTCTCTTTAAAATCAATTGGTTCTAATTTATAAAATTACATTATAGTAATCAGGCATTGTATTAGTCATAATCGACTTTTTGTCAAGATAACCGACTTACTGATGCAATAAATTGTGCTGGGAGTTGCACACAATAGGAATACCATCCAAACTGCTCACCTAGTATATGCGACACGTTTTCTGGTTTTGTATCATGATCTGTCAAAGAAGTGTGGGATAGATTAAGAAAGTGGTGAATATCACTTCCATGAGTCGAAAACGATAGTCGAGCACGTACAGGTTTTTTGAAAGAAAAGGCATCAGGTGGGCTGTTTTGAGACGTTGGGGAGTGACTCTCAGATCTTAACTTTGGCTGTTCTTGAGGTATTGAGGATTGGGCACTGAAACGTAAATTAGCTTTCATCACCTGGAATGCATCACTTTTTCCAAGTAAATCGGTCGAGTCGATGCTATTTCCTAAAAAGTCCTGCACCTTTTCTTTTGTTGGATTTATACTCGAAGAGGGGGGTGTAGACTTGATACGTAGCTTTGAAGGCTGACTGTAGATGGAGGCATTCAAATCAATAGGAATCAAACGACCGTTTATTGCAGAGCCACGACGAGTCTGAGCATATAGAGTACTATTGATGTTTTCGGACAATCGATCTACTAGTGGTTTTGCTGATTCTGTCCCATGATTAATGATCCGATTATTATCACGGAGCGCAACAAATTGCTCAGCATGGTTTGTCCCATTGGAAGGCGGCGGTGGAGGAAGGAGATCTGAGGATGGCAGGAGTTTTGGTGAAATATGATTGGCAGTAGTGCTACGCGTTTTTGAGGTGGGTGATGTGCTGGAATGTGTCGTGGCAGATGGCACGTTTGCCTGTATTAGAGTTGGCTGAGTATTTGGAACATGGCCTGTTTGAGCAGTGTCATGCCGATATACTTTTGTTTGAAGAGACGCATTTAAGTCAAGTGCTCGGGGCTTAATCAAGCTGTCTGGGCGAAACTGCGTTTGGCTTTGTAATTGAGAGGGGTCGTGTTTCTGCCGATGTTGTCTATCACTCGGTTTGACCAAAGAAGGAAGATGAGCCATTTCGTAATCAGGTAAAGAATGCAGCTGGATTGCGAATTTCAGTCAATCAAAATAGTTGTTCCCAAACTGGTGTACCAACGATATATAAAATGCAAGATACGCCCAAGTTTACAGTCGTATTCATACGAAATGAAATACTAAATAAAGGTGTCGAAATGCATAATAAACAGCCAGTCTCATGGAATGATGATTCCCGCAAAATTTATTAGACAGCATTGTTAAGCCCATCAACAAAATTGACTGGTTTCTCCATGCTCATTTTGGATAAAAACTAAACGAGTGCTCGCATCTTTATTTCAGTAAATCTCATATGCTTGATACTTGTCCAATCTCCTCTTTGTTCATTCAAATCATTCAAATCATTGAAAAAACAGACATTACAATATTGGGTGGTTGCATGTATAGTTGCATTCCTGATACGTATAATCTTTGGCTTGTTAAACCAGAGCGCGGGCGTATCCGACTTGTTAGAATACAGTCAATATGGGTTTGTAGAGCTTGACAATATTGAAACAGCCAATCTAATATCTGGATTACAATGGGTGAATCTGGGAATTGCACAATGTATGGTTGTGCCAATAAGGACAATCTCAGTTCAAAACTATAATTTGTGAGCATTATACAATGAGGATTGTATCTATTGAATTGAAAATGTCTATTAAGTAGTGCAGTCAATCTAGTAGGGAAACGCAGACAATCATTTCTATTCCAAAGCAGTGATTGCAAGATAGTGTTTCATTTTACATGAATGCGGCTGTAAATGTGAGACTGACATCCTGAATATTGAGTAGATTGTTTGAGTTTATAAAGAGCCAATTGCATGCAAGCTAAAAGAAGGATTGCCAAATCTGGCATGACTGTAGCTTTCGAAACCCAATTTATTTGGTATCAAGTAAGACCAATGTGAAGCTGTGTTGAGAGGAGTTTGCAATAAAAGGGAAGATGGACCAAGTATAAACTAAGGCTGTAGTTTCAACGCTTGTAAAACTTTATTCATTTGGCTAGAAAGCAATGACAGCCAACAATAATATGCCACACCTGAATGATAAAAGGTATGACTTTTGCTTCTTCTCTACTACATGATAGTAGCTGCTCATTATCCATGCATCTGTAGCTTTTAAAGAGATTATAGCTGGCTAATCTGCTGATGCTTCAGTCCATCAGTGGATGCTACTTTCAACTCTCATCTACAACATACCAGCTGTAGTCTATCAACTGGACTTGTCTTACTTTCCCTTATATAACATAACACTGTTTTCAATGATTAGGCAGGCATGGGACCGAATATTACAGGATCCACTTTTGTCTACAGACTATTTGCGTGACAAGGGCATGGCTGGTGCTATTGGAAATGACGATCTCAGAAGTCTCTATTGGAAAGTACGTTTTCCAAATCTGATGAATTGTAACTTATTTTCAATTGTCAATGCACATCTGCTACTTGATGATAAAGAGTCAATGTGGTTTATATAGATTGTACTTGTGTATATTTCATGTCTTGCATATTAGGCTCATTCAATCTGATTAACATATATTTTCATTGTTGGTATAATACCTCCATTTTGATCAATCACCTTAGATTTATCTGGATATTGTTCCTGGTATATCTACAGAGGCTTGGCGACTTGTTTTAGAAAAAGAACGCAGAGGATATGTGGATCTCAAGGAAAAATATATTTTTGATCCAACAAAGCTTAAAGAGGCTGCAGATTGGTCACTAAATAATCCACTGAGCTTGGCCGAAGATGTACGACATATTGGACAACGTTTGTTTTATTTTTCAATCTCTTCTAAATGGCTGGGTTTATTTTTATTTCAATTCTAATTCTTGATTTGGTCAAATGATAAATAGAGCCCATGGAAGCAGTATTTCACAGACGTAGAGCTGCGTAAACTTATTCTTCAAGACGTGGAACGCACGCTTCCTGATCAAGAGCTGTTTCGAAACACTGCCATTCAAACTGTGCTATGCAATATATTGTTTATCTGGTGTAAATTGAATCCAGACGTCTCGTACCGACAAGGAATGCACGAGTTGCTGGCCATTGTCTTTATTATTGTTGATCGTGACAAAGTTACTAATCCAACTTCAAGTAGCGAGTAGGTTTTTAAATATATAAACCCACTGGCATGATTGCACTTTTGTAGTATCATGCTAATCTTTTACAAACCAACGCTTTTATAGAGAAGACGCATTTCATACCATGTTCAGTGCTAATCATGTAGAACATGACACTGCTACAATTTTTTTCCGACTTATGAGGGGAGTTCGATCATGGTATGAAGTACAGGAAGATCAACCACAGTTTGTGCGTCCAAATGATAAAAAAGGTGCTCAACAAGCCAAGGTAACTGTGCTTTGTTAATTGTGTGCATTGAGCTTTTAACTCTTTAATTGACTAATGATATCACTTTATTAGACAGTTCCAATCATCACTGCCTGTCGTCGCATTCAAAATGAGCTCTTGACCTCATTGGATCCAGATCTGGCACGACATATGGAAAAGCATGGAATAGAGCCTCAGCTCTACGGATTGTAAGCACTAAAAGCTGATTTTTGATTTGCAGCTATCCCCACTCTTTCCTCTGAATGCCAGCCAAGTATTTATTTTTAGCTGTTACTCCACAATTTTATTTATAATACGTATAGGAGGTGGCTTCGACTGTTGTTTGCTCGCGAATTCACACTTTCTAATACATTCATTTTATGGGATGGATTGCTTGCCGATGATGCTGCAGTGACTCTGGCTGAATGGGTGGCAGTTGCTATGCTGATATATATTCGTGATCAATGTGAGCTTGCTATTCAATGATTGATTTTAAGTTGTCGGCGTGCTTTTTATTCACGTTCTAGCCCGTCGTTTTAATTACAAGCTAACAATTGTCTGGATGTTGTTTAATAGTACTTTTATCTGATTATTCTGGTACAATGCATACATTGATGCGATATCCATCCACCGCTGACATTTCATCCAGTGAATTTATATCCAGTGCCAAAGGATTACGGGATCGATTTCATTCAAAATCATTGAGAACCTCATTAAACCAGCTTGGCGATGACACTGCTCCATCTACCACCCAGCCGAGTCGTTTACGTCGTACACATAGTCCATGGACTCATTTTGACTCTGCTACACGATTAAATAGTCAATCAGCAGCTGTGGCATCGACGGGAACATCCAATGGAGATGTTCGCGCAAATTTAATATCTTCGACATCAAAAGTATCACCATTATATAGTAAAGCGTATACTCGGTTGCTTCAAGAAAGAGATTCTCAGTTGATACAGGATTTGTCCAGTGTGCTTGAGCGTTTACAATATTGGAAAAAAAATATGGCGCTCACACCTTCTCAGGACATTGATGGTTTAGTCAAGATGATTGGACAGCTCGAGTCGGTTCGAAAATCTCTCGAGCAACCAATCCAGATTGAAAACCATCCTTTGTTTACTGATATGCCTAAACATGGCAACAATACATATGATGATGATGCCATTGAAGTCCGAAGTCGAGCGAATTCAAGTGGCAGTTTGAAGACTGATCGAGCACCAGATTTTGCTAGCATTGCTAATGTGCCAGCCAATCAGTTTGGAGAGGAGAAATTGTCTGCAATACCTAAATCAAGTCACGTCGTTGCTGACAATATACATTCTAGCACGCTTCATCAACGACGCATTTCTAACCAATCTGTTTCTCCAACTTCATCAAAGTTGCCTATGAATTCTACAACTTTTTTCCAATCACAATCAGTTGATTTGGGGTTCGTTAATCATGGCTGTGAATTGTCCCAAAAGCCTCCTTTGTTTGAATCATTTCGTCAGGGAGCATTTATTCCCATGTCGGCTCACATAACGGACAATTCATCATCACGACTTACTCAAGGGGCCGACATGGTATTTGGTCAAGTCAAGGCAGGGCTTGCAGGTGTAAACAAGGCATTTTCTGGTCTTTTTGAGGACTCGTTGTCTGCATCCTCGTCTCAATCTGCGCGTGCTATTGCTCAACATCCAGACATTTCCTCAGCCAGTCACACCGAAAACTATCGGGATGTGAATTATTCATCTCGATCTTCATCTCCGTTTTCTGGCAAGCCGATATTTAGAGGGTCTGTGGGTAGTCCATTTCTTAGTGCAGCTACTGCGACAACTATCCCTCATAATAATTCTACTGTTTCTAGCTCAACTGTAACTCTCAAGTCACCTATGAGAGCGCAACCTGCTGGTGATAGATCTAATATGTATCCACCTATGAAATCTGTATTTCAGTCAAAAGACAGTTCAGATCCTCTAGGTGTTGGAGTAGTATCTTCTAAACCATCAGGTAATATTAAATAAATTCTTCATTACACTACCATGCGATTCTGCATTTGCTTAGCTGTTGCGAGTTTTGTGGAATAGTTTTATAAATGTGAATCAAGCTTTACATCAGATTCAACTGGACAGATGTACACGTGACTTATTTTCAAACCTTTCAAGTGAATATTGTAGTCAGTTTTTTTGGATTCAGCAAGTTGGCATATTGAATTGCAGTTTGGTCTTTGAAAGACCAAACTTTACTAAGCGCTTTAGCATTACGATGACCAGTAGAGATATTTCTGAAGAGACGGCTCAGCTCTCTGCTGACCTTCTCGACTGCGACAGAAACGATTACGCCAAAGTAAATGAGATTATCGACCGCATTGCCGAGCTTGTTCCTATTCATATTAAAACCAGCAACAATCAATATCTATATGAAGATGACTTTGCTGGATCAAATCAAAAGGATTTGTACAATGGTTCGGTCACAGTACATGGGCTGTCGCAGCTTCAACGGACATGCACGCCATGGCTGGTGTCGCTGTTGAATAAGCCACCACGACTTCCTGACATGGTCAAGGATAGCAATGAGCTGGATGTCTTTACTGATCGTTTATCTAGTATTATTTCACTTTTATGCGGAAGAGCAGGTAATGGTTTGAAATTTTGAAACAGCGTTGGATAATTGCATTTGGTTTGAGCTAGACTCGATGTCTAGTTTGGATCGCTATAGCTCACGCTTGTTTAAATATCATAGCTATTGGAGAATGTACCACTACCTGGAATTTTCAAACTACAGGCAACTATTCGATTATGGAAACCACTTTTACAGAAGCTGAGATTGGATTCCAGACATGGGGCAGCGGTGTTTTATTGGCCAAGTAAGCTTTGATTGAAAAAGTGAATCTAAAACTTGTTTACCGAGTTGAATTAATGCCATCTGATGCAAACTATGATATATTAACTATCTTTGTCACTCATGTATGACCTTTGGAAACCATAGAATGATTGATCAAAAGGTAATCGACGTGGCTGGACAGAATGTGCTTGAGCTTGGATGTGGAACCGGTCTTTCAGGACTTGTTGCAGCCAGATCTGGTGCAAAACTCGTCGTTCTCACAGACTACCATCCAGTAGTTCTCAGCAATGTCGAGCGCAACGTCGAGGCCAACAATGTTGAATCAAACGCCAAGGTGGTCAAATTAGATTGGCTGTCGAGTCTATCAAAAGAAGCTCGTAAAGAGTTTGAAACTAGAACAACCATTCACGGAGGAGATGTTGAAACTCCTGAGCAAGTTAGTGTGTACGTACACGAAGACGAGGTTGAAAATCCAATTCTTACCAACACAGATTTTAGATTGGTGATTGCTGCCGATTGCATTTTTGACATCATGCATAGTATATTGGTCCCGAAAGTTGCAAAGCGGTATCTTTCAAAACATATTGATGCTCGTCTTCTTATTTTGATTCCGCATCGTGAAAAGTTTAAAGCTGAAATAGCTGCTTTTGAAGAAAATATGCTTGCTGAAGCATGGATTTTGGAGTTTAGCAAATGGATCGAAAAATCGACAATCAATTTTAAATACTATATCTATAAGCTTGATCAACATAGCTCTAATTGCTAAAAATGAGCATTATGGGTTTTCATGTATTGCCTGTAATGTTTTTGTTGGTTGAGCTATTTCGATAGTCTTTTATAAACTAGGCAATCCCACTATAAAGGCATTATATATTACAGCTGTATTCACGCGGTGTAACACTTCTGTGATGTATCTTGCACTGACTGCCTCTACTTTGAAATAAATAATGGTTGAATAATCGTTGCATTCTCTTACTACAACTGACTTTAGATATTCTCAACTCTTTCCATCACAACATTCATTATATGAAGCACACAACCAAACTAATTTTGACCTGAAACTAATTTTTCTGCTTTTTTGATACAACCATATATTGTACAACTACCAAGTTTGAAGCCAGACTCATACATTGAAATCCAGATATTGGGCTCGACCATTGTCAATACATTTTTGTACATTTTTTCTTTGTATCCTAAAATCTTGTGCGCTCACGTTCTAGTTCAAAAAACAAGATTGCAATCTCAGGAATGCAGCGATTGTTTCCGTCCGATCACCAAGCAAAAAACCAGTCACTCAGAGAGTTCAAAGAACAAAATATTTCCAGTGAATTTGTGTAAATCATCATTCCATGAGACTGCTTTTCTTGTTTAGTATTTCATTCTACGTGAATACGGCTGTAAATCGCACAGATATGACATATTTCGCGTATCGTTGACATTGAAATTCATGAGATTTTAATGCTGAAATATATATAAATTCATCGATATAGCAGATAAACCATATACAAGTCTACTTCAAAATTGCTATTGGCTCAGCACATTTCACTGTAGTACAACAATTTGTCAAAAACAGGAGCTATATCCACATTGAAGCAACCCTTAACTGTATCACCCATGCAATGTACCCCAATATCTACTAAATTAGTAGCTTTATCAGAAACTCATGTAGCACCGTCCCTCACCGAACTAGATTTGCTAGAAAACACACCACAGGTAAGAAATGACCATCAAACTTTTTAAAGATTGTGAATCTATACCAAATGCCATATACTATGTAGATATCACCTGTCGATTATATATGAAAATACAGTCATTTGAATTGATTTTTAACTATATATTTTTTACGTTGGTATTTGCCACTATTGCCTTTTACCCCTTGTTACAAATCAGTTCGAGGAGCTCAAAAAAAGCAGTTATATTCCACAGTATCATCATCACACTCTAGACTTGATACAACCCACACCACATCATCCCATTGAGAGAGAAAACTGTCTACCAATGCCACTAACATTAAATGAAAATCACTCACAACCTGGAAAGTTTAATGAAGCTTCCGATTCAAAAGAGGATTGGCCAATTAATCATGCTCTTCAAAATCCCAACATGCCACATTCCGCTGTAAAATCATCGAGTAACTCTCCATCTTATTCCAGATCTAAACTATTAGAACCAGTGATCATTTCACCACGGTCGTCATGCTCAACATCGCCCAAATCCAAAAAAAGTCCACTAATGATGCCATTATCATCAGCACAAAAAAGTCCCAAACCCAACAACGCGTATCTTGGAATGAATAGCCCAATACAGGGACAATCGCCATCATATTCAGACTCCAAATCCAAATCTCACAAAGTACCAAAGCTTCCTAGTCTTTATTACCTGACTCATAATCTTGTTCAACAACCCGAAAATTCAGCAGACTCGCGCTCACCAACAAGTCAGTTCAAACCATATAGTGCACACCTATTTGAGCAAGTCGACAAACCAATGGAAGACTGTGTTACTTTAGTAGAATCAGAAAGTTCTGTCAAAATAGGTTCCACTACACTACTTCCCAGCATTCTATTAGCAACTCCTTCCAAAGAATCGCATATTTTGCTTGCTACCGACAGCCCAAATACAGTTGTCCCATCTTCTTTGCAGCTGCAACCAGATTCAACTTTGAGATCGCTAACTACTAAAAGACTAGCTATGCTGAATCTATCATCTTTTCAAAAACCTTTATCCATGACAGAAAGAGCATCGCCATGGATTGCTGCTAAACACGATTCATTTCAAACCGGAGAGCGTATACCATCAGCACATGAACCAGTCAAATCAAAATCAATAAAAGATCATGCCCATGTATCTGCCATGCCCATGTCAAAAATACACCTGAGCGAAAACCATGAAGATCAAGACATTTTAAACGATTGCAGCATCAAGAACAAGAAAGAGGTTGCTGAAGCGCTACATCGTCCGATTCGACAATTCAATGTTGATGTGGTTGCCAAAATGCATGCCAAACAAGTAGCACAGCGCATCAAAACAGCATTTTTGGTCAACAATTCTAAATTACAGAATCGGGTAGAAAGAAATGTTGGGATTTCTAAAATGGGTCGAGTTTGGGTATGTCAAAAATGGCGATTGGCTTTGGCATCAACTTTACTAGGAATTCGAATGACAAGTGAGTTTAAAAATATCGCAAAGGGGATTCAAGAGATTCAGCGTATTCCATGCACCAATGAGAATAGTTTATTGTACATTTTGCAGACCTATCAGGGCCACGCGGATACACATCTATCAGCAAAGGTAAAAATCAATGTATTGTAATTATTGAAACCTTTCAATTCCAGAAGCCTTGACTATTGGTTTATATAAATCATGGATATAGATCAAGGCAGTTTGCTTTAGTAAGGTGAGATCGTTTGAAAGTCTTGAACAGCTATCAAAACTACTTTCGCTGCGGCTGCAATCGTTTGCTCAGTTTTCCACGAATAATAGACTGCAGTTTTGCCGAATCATGCAGGTAACATCAAGTAACTAGCAACTATAAATCAATTTCATGAATAGAGTATACATACATTCAATTTTACAGTATTGATTATGATTATTAGTATGCGCAGTTTCCAGTTGGATCATTGATCATCAAGGAGGGGCATATCTCGTCATCGTACTACATCATCGTGAGTGGACAAGTTGAATTGTTTATTGTACGAGATGGATTCAGATATCGGGTGAGTACTACTATTTGCTAGAGTTTAATGAATAATTGAATACTATTTGATTCAAGCTAATTGAGTCCTGTATTACTCATGCGACTTTTCACATATATAGCTGAACGTACTAAACCCCGGGGATAGTTTTGGACGACTGATGATTCGCGAAGATATCAATACCTCTAGTGTCGCAACTTTGATGGATAGTGAATTTATTTATATTGACAAAGGTGATCATTTTGCTGTCTAGTCTGTTAAAATTTCCAGATAGTCTAAATCTAATGTGTTTGAATATTTTGAATAGACGAATCTTCAAAGGTAAAATTCGACTTTTTACTAGTTACTGTGTGCATACTATGCCAAAACATATAGCTGATCAATATTTAATTAGATATCCGTTATTGGAGACTGGAAACACTTGCTCGTGGAACTCTCAAAAGTACCCCACTTTAATATGTTAGATACATTCCTCAGCTCTGCCTCGGGACTAATTTCAGTTCTTACATTTGAACCTAATGAAATAATCTTTCCAGAAGGCACAGATCACAAAATGATATACTGGGTGATCTCTGGTCAGTGCAGTTGCCACAAGGCGGTTCCCTTTATCCAACACAGGGTAAAAATATCTGCCTCGAATACTAAAATTCAATTTCTTCCTTGCGATCCAAATGCCATGACCCTCACTCAGCAGCAACTTGACGATGGCGATGAGATTGTGTTTAACCAGTTGAGCATTCACGACCTTACAAGCGGTGAGCATTTTCCCGATCTTCCTTTTTCAGAAGAGTATCAGTGGGTCACAACAGAAATGTTTGATCAACACGATTATGCAAAACATCTCGAGGACCAGGTACAAAGCCATGGATTTGGTAAAACATTTATATCGGTCGTATCTTCATCCAAAGTCATAGTGGCTAGTATGACATGTTTGGACTATGTGCGATTGGCATCGGAAAAAATGATATTGGATTTACTTAGACATCGCATGCTACAAACATTCTCTATATCAGAATTACAGAAAGCTTTTATTGAAAAACGAAAATGGGAGGCATATAAAAAAAATCTTGTTAGAGATCTACGCAAATAAAGTCGGATTGTTTACATATATGATTAAACTTGGTATAGTTTCCAACACCCGTATACTTTGAACTCGACATATTAAATACGATACGCTGGAATTTCTGTAGACTAGCCAGTATACTAGTTTATAATGTTTATTAATGATACAAAGTGCTTTGATATAGTTTATTGCTTGAAAGGTTGAAATACATTCTCACCAAAACAACTTTTCGATTCAAAAAATATTACAGCCGCATTCATGTAAAATGAAACACTATCTTGCAATCACTGCTTTGGAATAGAAATGATTGTCTGTTGCGTTTCCCTACTAGATTGACTGCACTACTTAATAGACATTTTCAATTCAATAGATACAATCCTCATTGTATAATGCTCACAAATTATGGTTTTGAACTGAGATTGTCCTTATTGGCATAACCATACATTGTGCAATTCCCAGATTCACCCATTGTAATCCAGATATTAGATTGGCTGTTTCAATATTGTAAAGCTCTACAAACCCATATTGACTGTATTCTAACAAGTCGGATACGCCCGCGCTCTGGTTTAACAAGCCAAAGATTATACGTATCAGGAATGCAACTATACATGCAACCACCCAATATTGTAATGTCTGTTTTTTCAATGATTTGAATGATTTGAATGAACAAAGAGGAGATTGGACAAGTATCAAGCATATGAGATTTACTGAAATAAAGATGCGAGCACTCGTTTAGTTTTTATCCAAAATGAGCATGGAGAAACCAGTCAATTTTGTTGATGGGCTTAACAATGCTGTCTAATAAATTTTGCGGGAATCATCATTCCATGAGACTGGCTGTTTATTATGCATTTCGACACCTTTATTTAGTATTTCATTTTACGTGAATACAGCTGCAATAGTGGCAAAACTTTTTAAATAAATGATTTGAAAGCCTAAAACTATTCCGCTTTTTGGAAGCCCGTTGCTTCAACCATAGCTGTAATTTTCAATTTCTTAGACCCGACAAAAAGTATCGCTGCTAGTATATATTCGATATGCTACCTCATTTACACCAAGTTCCTGTTTTCTCTGAAATAAGTAAAATATGGAGACAAAATGAGCAACTACCAGCTGATATTGGAGACCAGGTCACCCAGCTAAAAGAAAATACTGAATCTTTCCCTCGACACGCTTTTAACATCCATCATCTTGGTGTACCAGTAGCACAAGGCACTGCAGGGAATGCTCTATATCTAGAGGCAATTATTCCACCTCATACGGAATCTAATGCATTAAGACTAAACGAAACTCGAGGTGTTCGACCTAGATCAAAAAGCAAAGTAGCAACGTCGCAACAAACTGAAGCGATTCTAGATGTGGCAGAGAGAAATACGTTCACGGAATGTCATCTTACAACTCCCATTGGTACAAATAATGGCAAGAAAAAACTGCATCCATCAACACCACCAAATGTATTGTCTTTTACAGATCATAGTCCACAAGCTTCAGTAGACCATACTAAGCACCAAGATACCCATACAGTCTCAATTTCCAGACATAATACGGTCAGAGCTACATTGGACAAAACAGGTACACCACCAGTACATTTGACACCCGCTATTTCACAGGTAGTATCATTGAGTACCAAGAAAGCGGGGGATGGTAGACCTGTATCTGCACTGAGAGTGCGCAAAACCCCCAGCCAAACTTCAATGCCGCCATCAACATCTCCATTGCCTTCCGGGTTGCCATTTCAGCAGGAGTCGTCTAAAAGTACACAACCACAAACTGTTCAAAAATGTCGCAGCAAATCAAATTCAAACGATACTACTGTTTCTATTCATCGCCAATCTACTGTTTCTCGGCCAGTAAGTTGTTTGCATAGGCTTATTTAGGTAAAAGCAACGTATACTCATCCTGTATTTACTTTAGCGATCACGAAGGGCGAGTGTCGGTACGGCTTCACCTTTTAAAACACCTTCCGATCATAGCCAAGAGTATATATCTAGTGGAGAAATTGAAATATATTCTAACGAGAGTTTCCGACCGGTACAAAGGCAGCTGTCAGTTAAACGAAGCGATCAGATGCGAGCCTTGATTGACAATGCAAAAAGTACTATTCATTTCGACTCGCACTCGCAGGATCGCTGCAGTATAGCCTCTGAACCCAACTCTGGTCAAATTCATCCTAGCGTGCCTAACCAAGATAAATGTTCAACTCGCCATCATGATCACAAATTGTTATCTATTTCTTTGGCCCATCCAAGTCAAATCGCTGATGTTGCAGAACAGCATATTGAGGAGTCTAAACTACAGTATGATGCATCTGGATGCATCCAACCCAACAAAGGCATTTCAAAAGAATATGATAGTGGCTTGTCTAACCCTACACCCTCTGCTCCTAATACTGTCATTGCCCCAATAAGCGAACTATACGAGACCTCTACTCTTTCCAAGATGAAATTACGACGACCATTGATGATTGGAAATATTTTACAAGATCTACAATTATCACATATATCCTCTGAAGCAGTTTCGCGACGGCTTTGTCTCATTCCATCCAATGTCGTATGCACAGATAAATCTCAAAGCACCATTCAAGATGGTGTAAATATGCAGCATAACGTGCCAAGCCAGCGAATGATGGGTGATGCACTTTCACCTGGCACATCAAATGTATTCAATGATACCACCATATTATCCAATCATCAGCCAAACCGCACACATATCATTTCAAATTCATCCCTGTCAAAAGATATATCACGAGTTAATAGTACCAGCGATATACTTAAAATGGAAAGAAACATGGGCTATATAGTTCCTGCTTCTCCGCGGAAAAGCATCAGCAGTCAAGATAGTTCAGACGCATATAAAAAAACAGACTTTGTATCACCACATGCGCCAGATGTTAGTCACCATACAGCTAGTGACATTCTACATCGTCATGGCTCGGTGAGATCACGCAGCACAACATCTCATAGGTCTATTGATACTAAACCAGAGCAATTGTGTGATTCGATACATATACCCCATCCACCACAAAACCAACCTCTACAGCATAATCGTTCCACATCTGCTCATAAATTGGTTCGGTCACGTAGAGGGTCGGCAAGCAGTATAAATGAGTCATTTTCTACAATTCAAACATCAAAACAAGAGCACGGACTAGATTCAGTCTCGCACGAGATCCTCGTGTATGGATCGTATAATGAATCCATGAGTTCACAACCAGAAAATTTCAAGTCTTCGGTACATTCGCTTTTGCCACAAGTTGCAGAAGTTTTAAATAAACCAGCAAGACCAGTACCTCCTGCCCTATTAGCCAAAATAGAGCATTTGCGAAGTGGACATGCAAGTGGTGTATCAGCTCATTTACAACCACATCAAGGTTCCAATGGGTCGGATTACCATACATTAAAGCCTTCATCCAATTTAATGGACGAATTTATTGAGGAAAATGAGACAGATCTTCATGCATTTCATACTCATAAAGGGGTTGTTGTTGAGCAGCCAAAAGGCCTTAGTGCTATTCTCCCTCGCTTAAAATGGCGGCGACTATTTGTTGTCTATTTGCTATCGATACGTTTATGGAAGAGTGGAAAAGCGCTACTTGAACCACTCATTCAAATCAAGTATGCATCACAAACACAACAGAACGATACATTGCTGTCTATGCTTAAAACCCATCAAGGAAAGGTTGATTTGGACTTGTCTGGGCAAATTCAGGAACTATTGCGTGGTGATCGCAATCCCAAGGCTACAGAAATACTTGAGCGACTTTTGACAATCCGCATAAAAGCCATGCAGCGGTATACCATGGACCAACGACTTAAATTCTGTAAAATTATGAATTATGCTTGCTTTAATGGAAACTCCCTCGTTGTTAAAGAAGGCAACATATCCAAGTCTTTTTACTTTATGCTTAGCGGGCAAGTTGAAATATTTAAAATGAAAGACAATAAAAAGTACCGACTCAACACCCTCAATGCCGGCGAAAGTTTTGGCGACCACACGATGAACCTGCTAAATGATAAACGCACTGCTTCTGTAGTAACAACTATGACTTCTGAATTTTTAATTATAGACAAGGCGGACTTTTTCGATATTACAAATGTTTGGGATGAAAAGAATATGTCGAATCATATGGCCATCATTTCTCGGATACCTATTATGGATGCGGCTGGTGGAGGCTTTGTAGAGCGTATCAAAAGCTTTACCCAAATTATTACATACGAGCCAAACGAAATGATTATTTTAGAGGGATCATCCAACGTCAAGGTGTACTGGGTCCTCAAAGGCACATGCAAATGTGTAAAACTTGTTCCATTTATCAAACGGCACTTGGGGACGACATACGAATCTGGCGATAGCACTGTTCTTGCCCCATATGATCCATCATCACCTCCAGTTTTGGGAAAAGATGAAGAGATTGTCAAACAGCTATTGCAAATCCACGAGTTTGAGTTTGGTGAGCATTTTCCAGATTTCCCGCCCCCGTCTGATGGATACAATGATTACGTGTCTTCGTTTGATCGGTTTGACAAGGTTGCCTATACAAAAAATCTTGAAATTGAAGACATGTCTAAGCCAAATGCGGTGGCATCAGCATCGGTGGTAGCCATTACAAAAGTAGAGCTCATGTGTGTTAATCGAGCAGAGTTTTCGCACGTTGCTCCAGAGCGAATACTCCGAGAGCTAATATCTCAGGATCATATTTTCAGTGTGCCGCTTCTTCAGTTGCAAGATGCATATTTGGAGAAAATTAATTGGGCAAACTATCGAAAAAAAGTGACAGACGAAGTGACAGGGCGACGAGCAACTAGAAAATGAACATCATAACTCATTGGTTTCAAGCAAATTTAAAGTACTATCAAAAAAAATGTAATTTAAAAACCATGTATAGCCCCATCCTTCATGCCCTACGCTTATGAATTATCTCAGTTATAAAAATAGTTCAGTATATGCATCCATGTTTATTGATTCGATTTTTGGAAAAGTAACGACAAAAGACTACCATGGATAGCCATTGAGTAAGAAAATAAATTGAAAGGGGACTTGAAAATAAACAGGAAAAGGTAAAATAGATGTAACTTCGACCAACTTCAAATTGGAGATTCTACAGAGTAAAGTAGCTGTGCAATTCAATCACAATTCACGAACATAGTTTCCGGGAAATTGACCAGTTCGATCACCAATGCGACCAATCCACCAGTCATTGGTATCGGCAGTTCGTTGAACCACTTCAATTTTTTCATCATGACTAAAGGATAAATCACCATCTGCTTGCGCTTGAAAGTCATAGAGCGCAATTGCATATTTTGTGGTTGACGAAGGTAGAGGGGGGACGCTACGAGGAAGCGAAGGTGGGTTTACCGATCCACTTGCAGCACTATCACCAAGTTTAACAGGATGATTTGCTGCTACTGTAGGGAGTGTGCCAGCATCAGTAGAAGAGTAAGAGGGCGGAGCAGCACTTTCAGCATTGGCATCTGGTACTTCTGGCAAAGTATTATGATTACGCTTAGGAATGATGAGAATTGACAATAGTTCCTGAACCGCCTCAGTTTGTCTGTTGTATCCGTCAAGAACATTTGTATGCATATCAAAATGACGCTGTGTAATTTCTGAAAGTTTTGAAAACAGAGCTTGATAGACCTTGGTTTGATACGAATAGAATGCTAGTAGACACGGATCAATAAACTCTACGCGAAAGCGTAGTAGGATAGGAAGGTCCTGTTTAAGCTGTATGTTGACAGCATTGTATTCTCGAGTTGCCTGGTCAAGGGAAGTCTCATACTGGCCTAGACGTTTCTCGTCGCTTACAGATCTGTCCGCCTTTTCACGTAGTTTGTGGGTAGCATCGCGATGACGATCGTAATCAATGAGCTTATGGCTGCGTTTAACCATGAATTTCTTGACCTGATCGAGAATTGTAATAAAGTCACCAGTAGGAGCAACTACCAGCCGCTCAATCATATCAAGGTCGCTGGATAGAGATTCTCTGAGTGCAGCTATTTCTTGTTGAAATTCATGCGTAACCAAGGCATGGTCGTTAGAAAACCCTCCATCTGGCTATATTATTGTAGATGCGATATAATTGATATTGTTAGAATTTATAGGGATGCATAGACAAGAACCAGACATTACTCGTACTTTAGTGCTGCCTTCATCAGCAAAACTGGCAAACATCTCTTGAAAGCAGCAAGCCACACCAGCCTGGTGGGTCAGCATGATACTGAGCGAGTCTTTAAACTTACGAGCCTCTGTAGCAAGCTGACGAGCTAGGGTATCGAGCTGTTTAAAGGAAGCGTCGTAAACTTCGTATTCGTCGTCCTTGGTTTCCGAGGCATGGCCCGAGGATTTGGCCAGCTGGTGAGGAATACGAGCAACAGCCTTTTGGAATCCCTTCCAAGACATAGGTAATACTATCTTGTCTGTTGGACACTAACAATTGAATTGTAATTTGCAAGAATTGCTTTAGTTGTACTCTCGCAAATTGAAACATTTGCAGTCACTGTTCTGCTTTGAAATATTTCTTGTGGTTTCCTAGAAACTGACTTGTTCTCGATTCAAAACAACCGCTCATCATACAACACAAACTATGATTTCTAACCAAGATTCTCCTCATTTGACAGTCATACATTGTACAATCACCAAGTTGGAACCTAGATATTGGACTCGACTGTTCCAGCTCGTATATCCTAATATCTCGGATATATTCGCGCTCTAGTTCAAGAAAATAGATTACATTGGTTTCCATGCCAATCACCACAAGATCAGTCAGCTAACGAGCCCAAATGCCAATGCTGTCCAGTAAATTATCATTTCATGGACTGTTTATTAGATACTTTTAATATTCCATTTTACGTGAATATAGCTGTAATCTGGATGACAATAAACGACTACAGCTTGGAAATGGTTTGGATTTACAAGTGTAGTGACTATGACTTTCAGCTGCAATATAGTTTTGGTTAAATCTGTATATGAATAGATGGATAGGACAGTAGCACTAGATCTGTGACTGAGTAGACGCACTTGCTTTAAATTTGGTAACAAAATGGATACCAAGTCGAGACATTCATATAATGCAACAGATTCCATACAGTCCAAGTGGTAATATTACGGAATAATCCAGTAACTCTTCGTGTACAACTTGGCGACTCGAATTAGTTTCTTTCCCAGTGAAATTGCTGATTCAACCAAGAATACTGACAATGGATGTGAGTAGATCTTGCTGTTGCAACCGCCATGCATGAATCTAAAGTCTAACCTTGACATTATGACCGTTTTTACTGATGATGGCAGCAGCAACCTATTGTAGAACTTGCTGATATCGAGCATCAAAAGGAAAACATTCAACCACTGCGGAGTGGTCGCAGTGCAGCTGCCCTAGCAGAGAGATTTGCCGACTCTGCAGCAAAATGCACTGCTACCAGTAGTACATATAATGTACAGCAGCAGTTACACATGGCTGATCTTGAACGTCAGCGTCAGTCGTTGGAGGACGCTCTTGCTTCTGTTTCGGACACTTCAGATGACGATCCTTTAGATCCATTCCATCGCTACATCCGATGGGTCGAACAATACTATTCTCAAGATCATCCTTCCTACATGAGAGTTTTAGAGAATGCCATTCGTCGCTTTCGCAAGGACTTTCGCTACAAAAACGATCCTCGCCATCTGATGCTATGGATGCGGCTTGCTAAACGCACCCCAAATCCTGTCGATATTTTCAAGTACTTGAGTGTCAACGAAATTGGACTACAGACAGCCCTGTATTATGAAGAGTATGCTACACTTATGGAAACCTGTTGCAAGTAAGTGAAGTTTTTGTTTGAACAATCTGTATCTTGGCATAGCTTGTTCATTCCAGCGTGAATAACTCGACTCGCTTCCAGTCGGCCATCTAATGTTGATACAATTCGTGTCTGATTTATTTTTAGATTTAAAGAAGCGCAAGAGATTCTTACTCTTGGTATCAACAGGAATGCCCAGCCTGTTGATAGACTTACCCGCTCAAGAAAAGAGTTTTTGGCTCGAAGATCTACTGCTGCAATTTCTGAAGAACTTGACCCGACCCTTGATGAGAACCAGCAATCTGATTTAGACTCCAGAAAACCGCTGGAAAATATTGTTTCTTCTGCATCCAGATCCCAGTCGGCAACTCAGCAACATCAAGTCTTATCATCTCGCTCTGCTATTGGACAACGACAAGGCAAAATTAAAGTGTTTGTAGATGCTGACCCCAATACAGATTCTGTTAGTCTTGAAAATAGAGTCATGCCCACTACTTCTTTATCTAATCCATGGCCTATATATGACGGCGAAAGCCAGCGGCGTAAAGAGAATGTTCCTGAACCTACCAAATGGGTTGGAGCGACTTTTCCCCAAAAGCAACCTCTCAAAAAACCGATATCTGCCGATATAAAGATTCCAGTATACCAAGACAAGGTTTGGAGTTACTACCAAGCCGACTATTTCTATATTTAGAAACTATGATTATTATGACTTCAAGTGCTGATTTTATATTTTGGGATTTTCAAATGTGTATAGTTGGAGCAAGCATTTGTTGAACCTGAAAAACGCATAAACCCAAATGGAAATCAAACAGTTCTTCACGAAGTGCCTCCATCTAGCAAACATACTACACTGCTCCAGTCATTAGATCGTGATTTATCGCCAGTCAATAAAATTGCAGCCCTTCCAACTGTAGAACCTGCCTTACCGCGTCCACCAGTATTGCCAACGAATTCTGTCGCTATCAATAAGTCTAACGCAGCAAAAGATTTTGCATGTGCTTGGAAAAAAGATTTATTTTTTGCTGATGGACTAGAGCTTTCCTTTGAAGAATATCGTGCTCAAATTCCACGATATAGGTTTGTTCAAAAATTAACTTTTCCACTATCACACACTCAGAAAAATACCCAAATTGATAATGCACCAATGGATATCTCTATGAGATTGAATAACAATACCCAGCCCCAATCAAGTCGATCAAGAGATGCTGGATTGTCCACTCAACCTTTTACTATTTCCACAAACCATCAACAATCATCTCGGCCTTTTGTTCAACACAATATTTCAAAAGCAAAGGAAATTTCATCACCAACAATTAACACCAAAGCAGCAATGGAAGATATTTTCAAAATGTTTAGTGTACCGCTCACTGCTGATGATCCTAAAAACGCTCAAATATCTGAGACTGGTGCTGACTGGGACGATGATGAAGAAACAATATCAAGCAAAATATATCGGCCCACATCTGCCAATTTCAAAATTGGTGTATTTCATGATGAAGAAAACGAAGGCAGTACATTGCAGCAAATGAATGATCAGGCCGATTTGGTTCCTATATCTCAACGTGTATTTGGCAGTAATTTGTCATCATCAGCACAACAACTGCCACCTCATCCCATGCAGTCTTTGAAAACTGATCATGCTACCTCTATTCTTTTACGTGAAAACAAGGGGCTGAAGAATGCAAGTCAACATGCTTTATCTGGTTTGGCTGACGAATTACCACTTCATGGTGCAAATACTCGACCCACATCTGAAAATTCACTTCTTATGCATTCAACACCGTACTCATCAGTTAGAAGTGGCGACGTGATGCAAGACAAATCCATCAATGTTGAAAGAAACATGACCACCATTTCAAGGGCTCGAATGATTTTTGGACAAACTCTCGATCCAATGACGCCCATTACCGAGGCTAGTAGTGAACTTGATCGCACAATTGGTGGGCTAAGTACTGTTTGCAGCCAAGCTACCTTATCTGGCATCTCAACTATTTTAGAAGAGGTGGATGATACCATGGCATATAAACGAAGACCCCTTGACACTGCATCTGACGATTTAAATATTACTGCTGACACTAAACAGACTCATGCGATTTTTGACGATGATAACATGTCTAGGGAGAAAAAATGCTATATCGGTAATAAAATTATTCACTCTATGAATGACACAGATATAGATTATAGCAACTGCGTGCGTAATCTACACATGTCCCATCAAGCAGTAGCTGAACCGTGTTTGCCTCAAAATGCCATGACTGGATACTCTATGCAAGCACAAGACAATGACCAAGCTCTTATTATTGATGTTCCCAATCCTTGTGATCCAAATGACAAAAATATTCAGCAGACTATTCTTGCTATTTCGCCATCTACATCTCAAAAGAATACGTCTCCTATCTATGATCATGGCGACTCTGACGCAATTCTCCCGGTTGACAAGAGCCGCAACAAGTACACAGACATACATCTTGACTCTGTGGGCGTGCTAAATGTTCTTGGTCATTTGGGTAATGGCGCGTTTGCCCAAGTATACCTTGTTCAGCGCGATCTTGACCAACTAGATGCGCCATTAAGCGATGCAGACCTAGCTAATCTTCTCGACGATAGCTTTAGTAATGACTTTAATGGCTATGAAGAAAAGAAATCATACAATACTACACTTACACCGCATATATATGCTCTCAAGATTCAGTCACCGCCATCAAGCTGGGAACACTATATTCTATGCACCCTTCAACACCGTGTTCCTGATGACATGCTTGATTCTATTGTATGGTGCTACTCCATGTATATGTATAGAAACTGCTCCATGATGCTTCTTCCACATTGTAAATACGGATCAATACTTGATTGTTTGAATACTGTATCTACAAACTCCTATGGCGTTGATGGTGCTGGCGTCAATGAGGCTTTGGCTGTATTTTGGACAATTGAAATGCTAAAGATAGTTGCTGGAATTCATGCCGTTGGGGTGATTCATGGAGACATTAAAGCCGATAACGTCATGCTGCGGTTTGAAAGCGACTCTGCTAAACAGAGAAATATAAGTGAAGCTTCTAGTCTGCAAGCACAGTACCAAGCTGGCGGTAGTGGTGGCTGGTCGAGCAAAGGGCTAATGGTGGTCGATTGGGGGAGGAGTATTGATCTCAAAATGTTTGATATGGAACAGTTGTTTATTACTCCAGTGCCTACAGCAAAGTCTAATACGGGACGTGGCGGATCAGTGTCAGTGGACGAGTCTATTGAGTGTCTTGAAGTGCGTACTGGTTGCTGTTGGAAATTCCAGCCGGATTGGTATGGGGTTGCAAGTATAGCACATTTACTTTTATTTCGTACCGATATGCAAGTTGTCAATGACATGGATGCTCAACCATTTGGCCAACAAACACGGCTTAAACTTAAACGACCGCTGAAGCGCAACTGGCAAACAGGACTATGGACAAGATTGTTTGATATCTTGCTCAACAGTGGGATGTATGGTGCAGGGACCGCCGATGATTGTATAGCTGCTATTGATCCTGTTCGAGTAGAGTTTGAGCAGTGGTTGGAGAAATCAAGCGTACGTGGATCTACTATGCTGAGGGGGCTATTATCTTCTGTTCAAGCAACTGCAATGGAAAAACGGAGGCATCAGGCACGCTGAATGAAGCTTGCTACATTTTTGCATGATGATTAATAGTTTTGTTCAAGTTTTAACTTTGCTTTGGAATTGATCATAATCATTTGTTGTCTTATTGGCAAACTCATACATCTTATACTGTCACAACTGAGACCAAACTCAAAGCGCACTTTGTATGGCATTCTACTGATCTACACTAGACAGAATTGATACGACCATCTCATCATAAACATTAAATAGTAGTCACTATGAATAAAATGTTTTTAAACTTTATTTCCTAATACTCTGCTTAACAGCCACCATTTTATAATTTCAAAAAAATCAAAACTATTGACCACTCTAATGGTTGATTTCAAAATAAATCCTACACACGAAATACTACAAAATTACTTGCGTATGTATGTGCAAACAAGAACTGCTATATACGAATGAATCTTGAATTTAAATCATAGCAAAACGTATGTTTATTAAAAATAGATAAATTGGATATTATGTAGTTGCCTCTTCCTCTTTAAAGCGCATAAATACTTGTTCAAGAGTGGTTAAATCCAAGCCAACGTTATTCACAATTGAAGCGAGTTCTCCATTTGCAATCTCGACCTGCAGAGTCCGATACATATCCGCAAAAAGTGGTGTAAAAGCACTATTTCCGCGGTCTGATGTATCTTGTACTTTGGCAAGTCGAACCTTGACTGTGGTGCTGGACACTGCGGTTTCAAGATACGCAGCAGGAAAAAATTGCTGCACAATTTTGAGAATTGTTGAATCTGCCCGAGTGGATAGTTGATTGGACATTGTAGCTTTGTCAGACTTGACAAAATCAATACTATATCCCGTACCGAATTGCGATTTAAGAAAAATCGATGTGCCAAGTGTTTTGAGATGGCCATTCGACATGATAGCAATACGGTCACCAAGAACATCGGCCTCCTCCATAGAATGTGTAGTCAAAATCAAAACACGATTCTTTTTGCAGCTTCGAATCAAAGACCAGATACGTTGTTGAGCAGCAACATCCATGCCAGTAGTTGGCTCATCCAACAACACGATACGAGGAGATCCAAGTAGCGCAATAGCTACACTTAGTTTGCGTCTCATACCGCCAGAGAGAGTACTGATGTAGGCATCTAGTTTAGCATACAGTTCAACATCGCGTGCTATGGCCTCGACATATTGCATTTTTAAATTTGCAGCCTCTTTTTGACCACTAGATATAAAATCTCCAACTCGGCCATCAATCGTCACACCCTTAATACCACAATACAGTTCTAAATGCTCACGAACAGTGAGAGATTCAAAGATTACATCAAACTGTGGACATACACCAAGTTCTTGTCTAAACATTGATAATGCAAAAGGATCCGTTATATCCATCACTTTGTCGCCCGACTTGGATTTGACGTAAATGTGGCCTGATTTTGGCAACACAACACCACTTATCATGGATATTAATGTAGTTTTTCCCGCACCGTTGTGGCCCAGTAGTGCAAGAATCTGACTACTGTGTAAATTCAAATTAAAGTCTTGCACAGCACGCTTAATTTTGGTTTCCATTGCTGCACCACAAAAAAATCTGCCAAAGATCCCCTTGCTAGAATCAGAAGATGCATCCTTTGGTTTTTCTTTGACTTTAAATTCCTTCAGTATATTGTTAATGGATAGCACATTGCGGTCGGAATCTGAAATATGATCTTCGTTAAAGTTTTCAATAAAGCCATCCTCTTGTAATGCGTGTCTGGGTACTTGGAGTGAGGGAATACTTTTATAAGTAGAGAACCAAAAACTGGAGATAAAGGGGAAACTCCATGGTTGTGAAGTGGCAATATTCTCTCCAGGAAAAATCTTGTTTAAATACCATGCAAGACTCCAATACAACACAATGTCAAGTGCAAGCATGTGAAAAGGAGCACCGACGCGAATATCGCTCATTGAATCTAATGTAAGTCCAAGAGCCTGACTTTCGGCACTCATGGTTAATGCAAGAGATCGACCAAGTGCAACAGGAGCAACCAACATCACAAGGTACTCAAGATACACATGGTCGAGTTTCCAGACAAATATCTGACATATTCCAAAAAATGCGAGCGATCCAAAAGCAACAAACATGCTAATAGAAGACACTTGTCGAATATGCGAGATAAAAATGGACATAATACATCCTAGAAGAATCAGCGAGATCATATACAATAGCAGTAGCACGATCAGTAGATATGCCGAGGAGTATTTGAAGATACCTCCAGCCATAACGATCAGTACGACAATGAGAACGGTAACGATGTTAAACAACGCGTTGCCTATTAGAATGGACAGCATGTACATGGTATCATTGGTGCCCATCATAATCAACCCAGATTTTGTCTTTTCAGATTTTTCCTTGACAAGAGTCGTCAACAGTACTTGAAAGAAAGGCTGCAGCATGTAGATAAAATAGTATGGCAAGAATGAAGCTACGCCAGAGGTTGCTTTACCACGAATGGTTGCAAGTAATGGAGCACCATTGTGGGGATAAAGCGGTGCAGATAGAAGCGGAGATCTGAGTGATGGAAGATTTTGTTTTGCGCGAAATACGTTAAGGATGGCTGTTTGTACATATGCAATTGCAGTATCTATACGAACATCCCTGTATGAAGAGATGACTGTACTGTTTGAGATGATGTTGTATGTAATCTAAATTTTAACCGTCAGCAGATCATTAGAACACACGGTTGGAAAGATCAAGGAGCATAATGCCATAGTGTTGAGCGAAAGCAAATTTAAAGCTTACCGACGGAGTAATAGATGCTGTTGTTAGATCTGATACATTCAGAAACTCGACCCCAACAACAAACAGAGTTGGATTGGCATTACGAGCAGATAATATGGCATCCTTTGATAAGAAGCTCAGTATGCGAGCATCTGGCTCAGCAGCCAAAACCAATGAAGTGAGCGAGGTAACGATGTCATCAATTGGAGTAGAATTTGTGAATCCTAGACTAACGCAGTTAAGCTTGGCTGATCCGTCAGGACAATACGATGACAGGGTATTCAAGGCAGTTGGTACTGGAGCTAAATTACAATGCATTACAACAGAATTCAATACGACACTATGCTAACATTAAGGACGCAGTACATACCAGAGATTGTGGTGGACAGAGAAACATTCAAAATAAACAGAATAAATAGAATGAAGACTGGAGTGAGGATTGCAACCAGAGTAGATGTCCTATCTCGGAGCTGTAATACAAGTCAGCTGTAGCTTTAACCATCAGATAAATTCAGCATACTTGTCGATTACCTTTGTCAAAATTACTTTTTTTGTCAAAACATACAGTTGTTTTGACAGTGAAACTTTGACAGACAGTTGAAAGTCTTCTTGATGGATTTTGTTGGTTTGAAAAGTGTGCTCTAATGACTGTGGAGAAACCATAGCAAGTGCAGACGATTGATTCAATGTAAAGGTCTGTTCAAGTGGATAGATTTGTTGCTGTGGTCTATAACTAGAAAACGCCATTTGTGAAGACCAAATTTGGTCAGCTTGTCTGTATATGAAAAGCAGTCCATGCGATGAGTTGGGCCGGGTTTGACGTGTCAACAATCTTGTTGACCATGCAAGCACCAAAGTATGACAAACTACTTTAAAAGCAGGAGATGGCTGATTTCATGCAATATCATTGGATGAAACCTTGATCCCATTCAATGATATTGACTCTTATCCTGCTATGTGATACCCTTTTGGTCAGTGCGATCATCACGTACTGGCGATTTACTAAATCAACAGTGCTATTCAGTAGATGACTGGAATTTGACATCCATAAAGTAGTCTTTTTGAAATATAAACACAACTACACTCGACTGTTACCTTTACATATGCCGATATTCAACGGCCAAATGGCCGCTATGCTGCATTTTCGACAAACATTGTTCCGTCGGAACATCGCTACTCTTTTGGCTAGTGAGTACATTCATGCCATACTATCTTTAACCAAACTTCTAATGCACTAATCCAACATTTCATCGTATTAAAAGGTATTTTGTTACCAATCGTTATGGTTGGTATGGCTGTTGGCATCAGTACTGGCATTCAGAGCTCCATTCCTACTGCTCCAGCTATACCATCCTATACACAGTCAATAGCAACTCCTGAGCTTTTATCAAGCATCCCATCTATTGCTCTTGTCATTCCAAAGGCATCTGCTGCTCAACAGTTGGCTATTTCCAACTCAATTCGCACTTCATTTGCTGCACTTGACAAGCCCAATATTCAATTAGTTTCGTTTGCATCCATTACCGACTATCAAGCAACTCTTGTCAACACATATCGAGGTGTTGCAAATGCCACTTTGATTCCCGCTGCGCTTGCTATCTTACAAGATATCCCAACACTTCCTGCCTCGGATGGGCTGCTTGACTTTCAGTACCAGCTGTTTATTGAAGAAAATCAACCAAAAGGCCTTGAACCATTGATGATTCAAATTGCTGACGAAGCCAAACAGGTATGTCCATGTGTCGTATACATTGGATCAAGTGACTTACTTTATACAATATGTAGAGCCTGCTCCAGCAAACCGGATCAGTGTCGTTTCGGGCCGTGTTTACTTCTTTCGATTTTAGTGGTTTCTACTATGACGTCTCGCTTACCATCATCCCAACATTTATAGTGGCGGCTTTTGCTCAAATGATTTCGTTTTTTTCCATGTCCAGAATCGAAGAGCGTGAAAAGAAACAACGGGACTATTTGTTTACCATGGGCTTATCACCCCATATTTACTATCTGAGTGCGTTTGTCATTGACATGTGGGCATATATGATCAGTCTGGTTGTGTCTAGCCTGATTCTTTATGGATTTGGTGTCAAGGCATTTACTCAAACCAATTATCTCAACTGGTTCTTACCCATGTTCTGTTTTGGATTGCTTTGCTCTCCCCTTGGATCGTGTCTTGCCTTTCTATTCCGTAAACAAGATTCTGCTGGCGCAGCCATGGGTCTAGGCATATCCATTGTTGTTTTTGTTCCTTATTTTTTTGTGTATTTCCTTGCCAAAAATGTGATGAATCCAGAGCTCATGTATGTCATTTCTGCTCTCTTACCTACATTTGGATTCTATCAAGCTCTTAATGTAGGTTATGAATTTCTTATTGCTTCGGTGTATTGCTATACTTACCTATTTTATTTTCAATCATCTACTCAGGCTATTGGGCTTGCATCTATTGCCTCTAGTCCATTTGATCTCGTGTCTTTGGGTGATTTTCAGCACAATCCAGTGCTTCCACTATCCCTTATCATGATTGTTCAAACTATAGTATATTGGACAATCCTTACCATTCTCGTTCACAAAGATCTTACCAACTCACACTCATTTCTCAGTGCGGCTTTTAGTCTTGCTCAGCAAACCCTATTAGGGGTGAAATATCTTGGCAATGACACTGCTGCGATCCATGGCGATGCATTGAATGCCTTTTGCGAAAATGGGCACGAATCGTCTCAAGCTATGGATGCTGAATTGAAGCATGAGATGCAACGTATAAGCAATCCAGATCTAGCTCATGAAGATGTAATTCGTATGTCAAATGTGCGAGTAGAGTTTACAAGGCCCACACCTCGAGACAAGACTAAAAAATGGTTCATGCCTAGCCAGACGGAGCGACTGGTCGTTTTGGATGACATGTGGCTTGCTATCCGTAAAAACGAGTGCTTTGCTTATTTGGGTCCCAATGGCTGTGGCAAAACTACTACATTAAACACATTGATTGGTCTTGTTTGTCCTACTCGGGGTTACGCGACCATTGGTTTATACTCGATCTTACCCAAATATAATCCGCATGCTCGTCAAATCATTGGGATTTGTCCACAGTTTGATTGCTTGTGGGAAAAACTTACTCCTCGAGAACATTTGTATACCATGGCAGCAATTAGAGGCATGGATACAGAAAACGAATCTGTCAAGGCGGAGATTGATGCATTAATTGCTGATGTCGGTCTTGGTGATTTTGCTGAAAAGCAGACGGGAACGTTATCTGGTGGTAACAAGCGCAAGATTTCCTTGGCAATGGCATGCATTGGCAAACCAGAAGTCGTGTTCCTGGATGAACCAACAACAGGCATTGATATTGTCATTCGACGATCCATCTGGTCCATTATTAACAAACTCAAACAACACACATCTGTAATCCTTACCACCCATTCCATGGAAGAAGCGGAAGCACTTAGCGATCGTATTGGCATTGTTGTCAATGGCCGTATGCAATGTATTGGTACTCCGCAGAGGCTCAAATCTGTTTACGGATGCGGATACAAGGTCTCGATAAGAACAAGTGAATCCGTGGATGTGGTGAATGATTGGTTTTTGCAAAATATTGGCAAACCTGGCACATGGCAAGTAGCTCGACAAGTGGGTGGAACGACTGTATTGCAAATGACAAAGCTTGGCGTTGAAGCTTTACAAACACAGCTATTGGCCGCGTCGACTGACAAGGAGAAGATGATTATAGGACTAGAGTTACTAGAGCATATTTTCCGTGTTTTGGAATTGCCGGAAACCTGTGGTGATAGTGGTCAACTAGCCCGGCAACTTGGTATTGTAAGTCATGAAGTACAGGAGACGAGTATGACCGAGGTATTTGTTGCATTTGCATCACTTCAAAAGGGACTTGAGCTTTAACAGCACCATGAACATTTTCACAACACTCGATAGATTTTACTAGGAGCTATCTACTAAAATACCCGGTATCATTCGGTGCCCCATCTATACTACTGACAATTAAATAAGCAATCAATCTGTAGTAGCAAGATGGAAAGGATATTTAGCCATTGTTTCAAAGTAAAATAGTGACTGCAAGATACAAAATAAAATAGTGAATACAGCTGTACTTTATCTTTATATCCCTTGAATAGTCATCATATTAAAGACATGACACTTGAAAAGTGTGGTTGTATCAACACTCTAATTCTGTTGAATCTGCAATTCATTGTTTTTGGATACCAAATTATGCATGCTAATCTATTGCGGCTAGCAACAAAGAATATGAGGATGGAGAGATCGGCAACAAAAGCGTAGCAGCATGTTGTTCAAGACACTGGACTGCAACTAAGCCACACGCCGCTGGACACACAAGTTATTGCTGAAACGGCAGCAGTCCTTGGCCTTCAGCAAAATTATTGGGCACAAGCAGAATATTGCTATCGTTTATTATAAAGCTTAGAGCCACCACTACTTGCGTTATTAAAAACTGCCACTTGGATGTAAAGTGAGCCACTACATACAGCCCTACCATTTTTTAGATGATCATGTTTGCCTTATATAGCCTCACCCTATTGTCCCATTTTAATGGCTCAAATCTATTTTATTGTTTAGATACACTTTGGTTTAGCTTTCCAAGGTTTACTGCTGCAGGAATTGTTATTTTTCAAAAGATTGATTTTTCCACAAATCAAATTCATTACTAGATACTTTAAAGTCTATTTATTTGCACCATGGTTCACTGTTCAAAATTGATTGCATTGCTTAAAGTGGTTGTGGCTACTAGCTTATCAGTAGTCCTGGCTCAGGTCGGAAAAGTCAACATCCCTCCCGGCTTCAAAACAGGAAACTGTCTTAGTGGTCGACTTGAATTTAATGAGAAGCGCATATTTCGACTTCACGGAGACGAAACCAAAAAATACGATGTTGATCGTGCCGCGTACGATTTTACTCATAGCTATGGATCTATGACGTACGGTACCAATGGCAGCGCAAGCCTTAACCTAGTTAAGAACGCCGATCCTTCCAAGCTAGCCGATGGTGTATTGGTTTCAACCACTCGGTATTTAAGATATGGTAAAATCACTGCCAAACTAAACCCCGCCAAATCTCCAGGTATTGTTACCACGCTTGTTACATGGTCCGATCGTCAGGCGCCTATTCCCAATAGTTCCGAGTATACACAGGACGAAATTGATTGGGAGTTTCTTGGAAAGGATGTTTCTCGCCCGGAAACCAATGTTTTTACATACAAGACATCCAAACTAGAACGAGTTGAGTATCTATTTTTAGGACTGGTGTGTTGGCTAAAACCTGATTGTCTAATCCTTCAACTTGGATAGGGCTTGCATGGTGGTCCAATAGATAGTGTTATTTCTCCCGGTGCTCATGAATACACAATCGATTGGAAAAACGATCGTATTTTGTGGCAGGTTGATGGCCGAACAGTAAAGACGCTTTTAAAGAGTGAGTCTCATGGCCAGCCAGGCAGTTTGCCTCCAGGAGAGTTTTGGTTTCCCGAGTCTGCCTCGCGTGTTCAAGTGTCAATTTGGGACGGTACTACTCAAGGTAGCTGGACAGGTGGACCCATTCAGTACGATCAAAACGGTATTGTCTCGTCAGTCTATGAGTATATTGATATTCAGTGCTATGACGATAATATGAACCCAGTCTCTACTTGGTCAACGGATGGAACTGGTGCTGCTCAGCCTGAAGCACCACGATCAACAGCTGCCACTGGTGTTTCAACTGGTGGAAACTCTGGCACTACAGGCACAATTGTCACTTCTGGATCAGCCAGCTCGCCAGGATCATCGTCTGCACCCAAGAAATCTAATGGCTCGTCTATACAGTATAGCAGTATTGTTTCGGTGCTTGCTATTATATCTGTTGGTGTTACGGCGCTTATAACCTCGTAAATACTTTAGTGACGTTTTCATATTACCGCCATATCCATATGAAATAGAACACTAAATAAGAGTCGGTGTATAATAAACAGTTGATCTCGCGAAATGATTGTTCAGTTTACTGGACAGTATTGTGTTTTTGGAGCCGCCTACGGCTGGTGATAAACGGTGTAAGAATGGAGAGATGGATGAGAAATTATCAGCAGTCATTCTCCTTGATGTTATTGTTTTTCAAATATCGGTAAACTGTTAATCTATTGACTGAATGGTATGAGCATTTATTGTTTGTATCTCTTGTATCGCATTGATAATCTGGCTTGTCGAGACAGTCGGCTTGCTAAACAATTTGCCAATTCTCTTGATTAAATATAGAGAAACTTTATTTGTTTGATCTTGCTGTGACACGATCTTCAGAGTTCCACTTATAGAGTCTACGTTAATCTGAAACAATCATGTAATTTTACAAAGAATTCACGTTTTGAAAAGTTGAAACAGTAATCTGCTTGATGCCATCAAAGTGTTTTCAAACATGATAAAATTGGATTGTTCAAATATAAATAGATATGTTGTATATTCATTTATGTCAGTCGTGGTACTAGTTTATTCTGATCAAAATTAGCACTAATATCGATGCCAACCTCAAAAAATTTATGAATCATATTGATAATATATAAAAATAAAACAAAGTTTTGTTGAAGCGGTCACTGGTCTAAGGGTTATGATTCTCGCTTAGGGTGCGAGGGGTTCCCGGTTCGAGTCCGGGGTGACCCCGCTTTTTGCCTTTCAAGGCAATTGACTTCATAGCTAAACCCCAGCAGTGAGTCGCTAAATTGTTTTAAATCCGCCAACAAGTTAGCTCGCATCTCGATTATTTAAACTGAGTGGACAGTCATCACTCTTTTACAGGCGTATTCACGTAGAATAAAATACTTGATTGTACAGTATCCTCGAGGTGCATGCCTTTGATCAAGTTCAACCTTTGCCAATGCATATCCCAAACTGCCATAGTATTAGATTGGCATATATTAAAAGTATGGTTTATTTGCAAGATGTTTATCATATATTACACAACAATATAAAAGTAATACTATTAAATGGGAGCCAAATTGACAAAGAGCAATATACAATTTTTGAATATTCTGGCTGTTTAAAGCTAATGCGCATTCATCAAATTGACAACTATAAAAAGCAACTGTTCAAGACCGATCAGTATCCATATTGATACGTACCAGAGTGTCAGTGGGTGTAGATGTCTGTTGCATAGACGGCAGTGTGTTGGATGCTCCATGTGATGTAACCTGTCGAGTATTGCGAGATGGCCTAAACCACCGCAGAAATCGGTCATTGGCATTTTGTTCAAAAAAATTGCGAAGTACAGTTTGCGAGTTATTGACATGTGGAGATGGTCGTGTAGTAAATGTAGAATCTTCAGGAAGTGCAGATGAATTTGTACCATTGTGAGCAAGAGTAACTGTGTCTCTAGATGGGAAAACACCTGTAACTTGATCAGATGGCAAAGGTGGCACAGGCGTGGTTGAATCATTTGACAATGCTGGTTGTGGTGAATCTGAATCTGTATGGGAAATTTCCATATTGGATGCATATCTGCGAGTACTATTTTCCTGGTTATGATTGACAGAGTTTAGTGCTGACCGATCTTCTAGCCATGGAGGATATGCAGCAGCCGTAAGTGGTGTGGGATTGGCAACTGCAGGAAGAGATTCTCTTAAGCGTTGCTGAAAGGAAACGCCAAGAGCATCTTGATTACAAACTGGACACGTTCGTTTCTTACCAATCAGCCATTCATCTATACACTCTGCGTGAAATCGATGAATGCAATGAAGTTCCCGCAAGAAATCATCGTTCTCATAGTCACATAGACAAAGAGCACATGTTTGATCCGTAGTTCGTTCCTGTTCAGGTTTATTTACATGCTCATCTCTAGATACAGTGTCTGGTGTTAATGGCTCGATTGGACTTTTTGGATGCGGTACTTTTAAAGCGACTGCGTGCAATGACAACAATGAGTCGTCTATTTTTATAACGTGCAGTGAGTCAACTTGGTCTGGTGTTACACAGAGATTGTGGGGAGTCATTTTGGCAGTGTCCGTTGTTTGCCTATCCAGTGCACTATGTTGCATCGATCCATTCCCATGCACCAAAACCTCAATTGCAGAGTGATCATCTGTAGTAGTCGTCTCTGCAGCGTCGCTTGAAGGATTTGTGGCGTTTTCAGATTGAACATTGGTAGTCTTGTCAGACTTGCTAGACTGAACATCAGAAAGTGGCAAGTTGTTTGAGTTTTTTTCAGAAACCACCACAATCGCTGCTACGCACTTGTCATCAGCCTTTGACAAATCGTCAGAAGTTTGAGTGGGTTCGTTTGGAGCGACCGGCTCTTTAGAGTATACAAACGTTCGTAGTTGGTTCAACTCTTCTACAGAAAGACCTCTGTTCATTAAAGCTGTCTGCATACGTGTTGGTTGTTGAGTGATGGGGTTTTGGTTTAAAAAAATGGATCGTCGTCTAGCACGGTAGTCGGTAACAGATTCATTAGCCTGACGCCATTGTGTTCGATCAATTAGCAAAGTAGGACAGGCGTCCGGCCAGCGAGAGTTATTGATGGTAAATCCGGGAAAGCAATGACCCAAAGTAGTTTTGTTGAGAAGAAACAGAGTTGCAAACAACACAATACATGTAAAATAAACAATAGTAGCAGCCGTAAGCTCCCATTGCACAGCGATCGCAATGGGGTTCTGGCAAGAAGAGTCAGTACGGACAGTTGAAATGCCAAAGATCCAAGCAATATAAGTGAACCAGTCGATAATAGTAAAAATACGCATTCCACAAAAACGGCTGTAGAAAAGAGTGCCCACAAATCCAAATCCAACAAGTGATGGATTCCGCCATTGCGAACCGGATCGTTCCAGTGCTCGATTAGCAAAATAGTGAATTGGATTCTTAACCTACAAGGTTTTAAAGCGTTTTAAATAAGGGTAATTAGTTGCCAAGTCACATTATACTGCAATACTGAAACAATGCTTGATTCAGGGTCAAAATGATGGTTGCTCAATACAATTCAACATGTTTTAGGAACAGGATAGCAGTAAGTGATGTGTTATATATGGACTACCCATTCTACAATCAACAACTCCATTCTCATAAATATAGTGCTAATGAAAGTTGACTAGAAGCCATGTGATCCTTATATCCAAGCAGTAGCCCTCCCTGCAACATGTACATTGAGCCAGGGAGGGGAAGAACCACAAGTAGACAATTTGTAGGAACTGGAGTACAACGGTAGACATACCAGACGTAAGGCTGTCAATGACATATCCAAAATAAGCCAAGACAATGGGCCATTGTTTGAGCTAGCATCCTTAATACAGCCGTCTTTGCCATACAATGCAATGAGGATGGAATGAATAGCAAGAATGACAATGTCCCGAAACATGCACCATGTCAAGTCCTTGGTAGAGAAAGAATCAGGCTCAACTTTGATAGCAGTGAGTCCAACAAGAATGCAAGACATAGTATGGTAGTTGCAGGAATCGCTCAATATAAAGTCAAACCCCAAAATCAGAAATTTCCATTCAAAGCCAGCAACCAATGTGGTTTGATGTGAAAACTATTTTACCAGATTATGCGCTGTGGCTATAGTTGGATAATCCTTTGATGGTACAGCGTATAAACTGTTTTAATTTCGTGTATAACTTGATGATTGCTATGGAATCTCTGGTTTGAGTTCACCCTGTCATATACTTGTTTGCTCGATACTTGAAATCAATATGCTAGATGATGAATATTGACATATTTTATCATTTGAATTGAGGGTATTTGATGAGTTGAAATGGCTGTGCAGTGTACTATTACATGGGAGTAATCTAAGCCATGATATGGATATTAACACAACTGTAAATTCTGTCAGTGTTTATATCAATGAATATCAATTTTCACAATAAAATCAAATTGGGATATAAGCCCATAATGTTTAATTAATGACGTAAAAATCAGATTTTGCATGCAAGTCCATTTTTAAGATATATTAGTGGTGGAACAAGCGATACGGAGTAAAAACATATCCAATGCCATTCTTTTCGGCCTCTTGAACAACAGCCTCGTCCATAACACTCCCACTAGGTGCAGCAACATAACGTACACCAGACTGAGACACACGCTGCACATTGTCGGCAAAGGGGAAAAAGGCATCAGATGACACCACCAAACCGTCCATTTTGGTTTTCCAATCACGCTTCATGGTATCAGTAAATGGTTTAGGAACCACTTCAAACAAATCCGACCACTCGTTCATGTCCTCGATCATATCATTGATATACAGGTCAATAGCATTGGCACGATTGGCCCGCTTGACAGTAGGCTTAAACTTAAAGTCAAGAATGTCAGGATGATGTCTGTACCACCAATTATCAGCCTTGTCGCCAGCAAGACGAGTGCAGTGGATGCGCGATTGCTGGCCAGCACCCATACCAACAACTTGACCATTCTTTGCATAGCAAACAGAATTGGACTGGGTGTATTTTAAAGCAATGGTAGCAACAATCAAGTCACGAAGGCTTTCATCAGTGACGGTCTTGACGGTTTTGGTAGCAATGTTGGCAAACATACTTTTGGTGATTTCAACATTGTTGCGCTGCTGTTCTAAAGTAAGACCGTAAACTTGACGACGCTCAATCTCACCAGGCTGATAGTCTGGATCAATGGACAGGACAGTATACTTTCCTTTTTTCTTTTTTTGCAAAAGAGCGAGTGCTTCGGGTTCGTATCCGGGAGCAATCACACCATCAGATACTTCGCGAGAAATAATCCGAGCAGTGGGGAGATCCACAATATCCGACAAAGCAATCCAGTCACCAAATGAGGACATGCGATCTGCACCACGAGCACGAGCATAAGCAGTAGCAAGAGGTGACAGGTTCTCGATATCATCAACAAAGTAAACCTTTTTTTCGGCTTCGGTCAAGGGAAAGCCAACGGCTGCACCAGCAGGAGAAACATGCTTGAAAGAAGCTGCAGCAGGAAGATTCAAGGCTTTTTTGAGTTCCTTGACCAAAGGCCATGCATTAAGAGCATCCAATAGATTGACATATCCGGGAGATCCAGCCAAAACTTGATGAAAATAAAGTGCCAGTCAAATACAATACATAGGCATTCATGTGGTTATCAATTTGAATCTACCATAAAATACAAATTTAAATAAACGAGAATGGAATCAAGCATACCTTTGAATGGGAGAGCACCATTAGTGCAGTACACCTGGGCAGGTTTTTGGTGAGGATTGGCACCGTAGCGCAAAAACATCTGGCAATCGCCATTGCCCGAGAATTCTTTACGAAAGTAACTGGAAATGGCAGTGTCATAGTCGGCAGTATGTGTGAATGCCTTGAGAGCGAGGCTTTTGCGACGCTCTTCAGACAGCAAGAGTTTGCGACCCGATTCATCAGCAGAAGAAGCGAATGCAACTTGCATTTCCTTGATGATATCGGCATATTCTGCAGGGTCAGACAAGATCGACACTCGCTCAAAGTTTTTGGCAGCAGCTCTCAAAAGAGTCACTCCACCAATATCAACCTCCTCGACAGCCTGTGGAATGGTGACGCCAGGCTGAGTAATAGTTTTTTGAAAAGGATAAAGATTGCAGACCACAAAGTCGATCAGCTCATATCCTCTAGCCTGCATATCAGCTGAATCTTGGGGAGTTTGTCTAGCAAGGATGCCGCCATGAACCGCAGGATGGAGAGTCTTGACTCGACCACCAAGCATTTCTGGAGCCTTGGTAATATCAGCAACATCGCTAATAATCGCAATAATTAAAGCAGTTGATGATCAGGTTAAAGCCTTTTCAAAACATACAATGCATTCATGTATAAAGCTTACTCTACAGGAAGTCCAGCATTGCGGATGGCCATTGAAGTACCACCAGAAGCAATCAAGCGCACATTCATGGCATGCAGAGCAGTGGCCAACTCAACAAGTCCGGTCTTGTCAGAAACAGAAAGCAGTGCTAATTGAAATGTATATGATTAAAACAACCAACCAGAATCAGAGATGGCATATAATAGATGACTTTACCAATCAATGATGCAGTCATTTCAGATTCAGTTTTTAGAAAGAAATCAAAACCCGAATTTTTGATAAAATTTATTGTCAGATTCAAGTAAAATAAATTTTATTTTCGAGTAAAATATTGGCCAACTTGTTCAGTTTTTTACTACAAATTGACTTTCAACACACCGATCATCATATAATACAAACTATAAGTTTAAACTGATGCTTTACAACTTGAATTCTGGATTTGTTTGAATAGTCATACATTGTACGATTGTCAAGTTTGGTACCAGATTCATCCATTTCAATCTAGACATTGAATTTGTTTAGATATTGTCAATAAAAGCTTGTACACATTTCTTGCCAATCTGTCTGCCACTCACAAGTGTTGGTGTTTGTATGTAATATTGTTATCAAGATCATTGGCATTGCTGGTCGAGATATTTGCACTTGGTAAAAGTCCACAAGTGCGTTCACAACGTCTTGTTGTCCAGGTGTTGATGACTACAGAGTTGTCAAGCTATTCATAAATGATTTGACGACAATGTATTATAGAAAGTAGAGATTCATACATAAAAGGACATGTTTAAATGCTAAACACTCAAACTGTTTCTACACGACGATTCGAAAAAACACAATGTTGTCCAGTACATTGACTCGATCAAACATGACTGAATGTTCATTACAAAACTTTTATTTAGTGTTCCATTTTATGCAAATATGGCTGTAACTTGATGGTTGTGTGGAGTATTATAAAAATGAACCATTCAGTTGTACTGGATTGATCATGATGGGGCAATTTATACTAAATTTCGTTTTTTCACAAGTCGGTTACAGTGCATTACTCTAAACCATGCTCTAATCCACACTAGTATTTTTATAGTTTATAAACGCAATGCACAATCCCAGCGACTCGAGAATGTTGAATGAGATCGTGAATGCGCGTGAATCCAGTGTTCAGCGTAATGGGATCGACTTTGATGTTTGTCCAACTTGCAACCAACAGTCTGATAATGAGTAGCCATACTCCTGCTCGCACAGACTCAATTGACCATTTGTTGGATATGGAACCTGTATGTCTACTACCTTGATATAAGACTTTTTATTGAACAAGATAGTCTAAGCTTTAAAGTCGGGCATAACCTGTTCAATCCTTGGTGTACATTGCAATACATTTGATATATTGATTATCTTCAATCTACCCAAACGTCTTGTTATATAGGGCCATGATGCTCAGACAGAACTCGAGTTTCAAAGTAAGAGTCGCTGGTTGCTAGCGATACAGCTGAGCCATATCGGAAACACTGCATCCTATTCTTGTCAAATATCTTGTGCTGATACACTACTGTTGGATTCATGCCATGAGCCAAGTTACTAACTGTCCTGATGCTAATTGTGCTGTTCCTCCTTGACAGATTTTGTGCTTTCTAGTGCAGAAGCTGATTTGATTGCTGGAAAGGTTGTCAAGAGTCCTATGCCTGCTCGCTCCTCACACCAAGCAGAAAGAGGTACATTAGATCTCGGCTATTATTTGAATTGCAGTGTTATCGGCAACTGGAATTCTAGGTTGTATATCTAAACCGTGATTTAACTAGACAATTTTGGATTCTCAAATCCACCTGGTCCCAGTATGAACTCACAAGGATTACCCAGCAACATGCCCAAAAACATCCAGCCATCAACAAATCAAATTTCCGAACAGCAGCCAGTCGCAACTACAAGCGCATTCTGGACATTTGAATACTGGATGCAATACTTTCAAGTTGACTCTGTGGATGTTGGTAACAGGATCATAACGACCATCATGCCCATGAAGTCATTTATGGAATTAATTGATCAAAATCCAGACTTTTACGGTCCATTTTGGGTCCCAACTACAGTTATTTTTACATTGTTTGCAACTTCTACCATGGCAGAGTCGATTGCCAAAGCGTGGTCCAACCAGAAATATGAATATGATATGACGATGTTGTCGTTTGCAGGTGCTGTTGTGTATACATATGTACTACTATTGCCTGCATTATTGTGGGGCATCGCCAAATATTTTGGAATTGCTACTATTCGGCTGTTTGATATGATCAACGTGTATGGTTATGGCATAGCTATCTGGGTTCCTGTTTCGGTATGATTGCATAGTTGACATGATTATGCTATGGATCTTGGTGAATTTAATTTAAATTGTTTTTAGCTTTTGTGTATTATTCAAAGTGACCTTATTCGGTGGATTATTGTTCTTGCTGCCTTTGCACTATCAAGTTGAGTATCCTTTTGAATTGAACTCGATATATTTGCCAAATTCACTGCTGATTCTTGTAGAGCTGCTACTTACTGTGTTTTAATCTTTTCTATCCCAGCATTTTTCTTTATCAAGAATATTCAACCACTAGCGACAGATGCGCGAGCCATCAGTATGATATTTATCCTAGTGATTGGCAGTCAGGTTGCACTGGCACTTGTTTTCAAGACACAATTCTTTCAACATACGATCCAGATTGCTCCCAGCTAGGATTTTAGCAAATAAAGTGCCATTTTCAATCGTTACATCATAAATGTCATTCATTAGAGGATTAGTTTGTCAGATATCAGGATCCAATGTATGTCGGAGCAGAGATATTCCATTGGTGAGAATTTCCAAGTCTTTCTCTACACCAGCAGTAGTGATATTGTACTCGAGTTGTTGCCCAGCAGCATCCAGCACGCCAGTTGAAGCAAACTTTAGTAACAAGGACCGAAGCCCGCTATGAATTTCCTGGCCATACCAAGGCTGGGTTAGATACTATGTATGCTTTTTAATGGCAATCTGAAATCAGTCTCAAGTTGGATGGTTCTTACCGTTATTACATTGCCAAGAATGACACAACTGGTTTCAAACTCTTCTTTGATGTTTCCTTGGTCTTTTTCCGGCTGATCCAAAAGTGATATAGCTTGACTAGCCAGTGACATGGCATTCAATAATCGCTATCACAATATATGGAAAATCAGCTTAGTTCAAATGCTACAAGGATTGGGTATGAGTTGCATGAAAGATGTACCTTTTCAACACCATGAATCTGTGCTACGGATTGACTGCTGTCAAGTAATATTGATGGAGATTGCTGCATATCCGTTGTCAAACTTGTACAAAACTGACCTGGATTGAATGGGCTTTAAATCTACTGTCAAACTTTAATCTTGATTCAATTGCATAATTATCAGATATTATGCATTGGTATTAAACAGTTGTATTCACTTGGATGGATCACTAAGTAATATTGTCAGTGAATAATAAACAGTTGGCCTCCAACACATTTACTAGACAGCATTGTGTCATCTGGACTATTTAGTTGACTGGTATTTCCTGTTGGTGATTGGCATAAAAACAACAGCTGCATTCCTAATACATGCAGTTAGTGTTCTCTTGAACTAGAGCGAAAATATATCTGTGATTTTAGGATACAACAAAGGTGGATTGTAGAGTCTAATTCTAGACATTAAAACAGTCAAACCAAATATCTGGCTTCAGATTTGGTGACTGTACAATGTATAGCTATGCTAAGAGGGGCAAAAGAGCACGCTCAAAACTATAGTTTGATTGTGAGCATCATACGATAATCGTTGTGCTTATTGAAAATTAAAGTAGCCGTCATTCAAGTCAGTTTATAGCAGAAAGACCACGAATACTCGACTATTCCAAATAACCAAGATACAAATATGTTTTGTTTTGAAAATATAACAGTAAATTTTAAATACATATATAACACCTACTTGAATGTTGTGAGTCGAGAGAAGTAACAATGGAATGGGCAAAGCCCAACGAGAAACTGAGTCACAAATAAGGGACATTGTTATCGGTTATTAGTTGTGAGATTGTAAAAAATGAGATCCATGAGGTATAGTTATAAAATAGTTGGAACATATGAGAATGTGATCTTGAAATGAAAAAAGGTTCCATAGTGTAGTTGGTCATCACACAAGACTCTGAATCTTGAGACCCGAGTTCGAATCTCGGTGGGACCTTTTTTTATAAATACCAATTAAACATTTTTGTTTTTTACTACGACTGGCAGTATTTGGCAACAGCCATCGGTATATCAAATGATGATTCATCAAGTTAAATGGTTCCTGCCTGCTGATTTGAATTGCAAGCATCTATTGATCGTGCTTCCTGTACCATAGCCAGTTTGATGAAAATTTTGCACCATCATCTACTGCCTCTCTCGATTAAATATAAGGCAGCGTCTCTCATTTGGGTTAGTGTCAGTTACTTGCTGATTTTGATATCGATCTTGTTCTGGCACGATCTTCAGTATTTCACCTATATAGTCTACATTATTTTCCTGGTGATTGATGTAAAACAGCTGCACTGCTGAGATATGCAATCTTTGTTTGCTTGAACTACAGCTTGATTATATTATATGATGAATATTGTTTATTGAAAGATTGGTAATATTTATTGGGCGAGCAATACAATGTCCAGCAAACTCAACATTTGATCATTTTTTATTCCAAATCAAAATACTGACAATCACTGCAACATACAAATGTTTGATTTTATGTGAATACAACATTGTAATGTTATAAATATTCAACTGTTCGATATATCATCACAACAATCAATAACCAGTTTGATACACACAATCAGTCATACTTGTGTTTAATGCATGCATACACATCAATTGATTGCATCAACCATGTGTATAGTGTACTATTGTATATTGACAACACATCACATTATTGTATATGGATGAATGGTTCAAAATACACGATTAGTAGTTTGTTATGGATTGAATACAACACATTCAAACAACAATGTTTAGTGTTTGTAACACAATTTGGTATTGATAATTCATTGTATTGCAGTGTTGATATCAAGTCATGCAATGTGTTGATTGAATTTATTCAATTCACACGATCGGATGTTGAATATTCAATCGGAACACACGACTGAGTCATGATGAGTGTGAGTCATGACTGTGAGACAAATGAGACAATCAACTCTACAAGTTAAACTACACAATCATCTAATAATATTCACAGATCATCCAACACTCTGGTCATGGCAATTATGAGTGATTTTGGTCTCATTGACATGATTACAGTCATTGATACATTCATGTTTTTATTTTAAATATATTATAATAATGCTAGTGTATTTACAATCAGCAATCAGTCGTCATCTCTTGTGCAAGTCCTTTTTAATGTCATCAAGTCTCTCCTTGTTCATCTTGACTTTGACGATGAACGGAGTCAGCATAGTCTTGATTTCACCAATATCAGCCCTGAGTCTATCCCCTGACTCTTTGATCTGACTACAGAGGAAACTACCAAGAATAGTAGCTACTCCAAACATTGCACCATACAGCAAGTGGTTTTTGCTGATATGATCTTGAACCTTGCCATGCAGGGGTTTGGATGTTGCTGCATGACTGTTGGTAGTGGTAAATGATCGTTTGAGTATGTGGGAGTGTAGTAGTTTTAATATGTGATGAGTTGAGTTGTTCATTAGGATTTTATTTGGGAAAAATGAATCAATTCATCAAAATGGAAATTTCACGACTTGAATCCATAATTAAACTTTGCATGTGATTTGACATTCATTACATATTATTGACTTGGTTTTGAATATGACTGTTGACTGGCATATTAATGCATACTAATGCATTGCTATTACTTGTATTACAATTTGACCAATACATACATACAGCAATACATTACTTTGAATATCGACTCTAATTTCATTCCGTCTCTTCCTTCCGGTAGATAACAGCATATCCATCGACCTTTCTTCATTTCTCATTATATAGTTGGCCTTGTAAAGACCCACATTGTTTGTATTTTCGTCCAATTGGTTATTCATTTTCAACAAATTTGATGTACTTCAAGAAAATAAAAGTTTATTTTTTCGTTTCAAACGAATTAAACGAAACTTATTTTGTTTGTGTATCTCAAACCAATACGATTGAATCCTTTCTGTTAAATATGATGATTGATTATGGTCCTGTTACAGACCCAAAAGAGGTTCCTGTCGGAACTATTAGAATGGGCCAGAATAGAAGAATTTACATTGTAAAGTTGATTAATAACAGAAAGATTTGGGTTTCATTTTAAAGAATATTTCGTTGACTTCCAAAAATTTATTTTCTTTGCGTTGAATATAAAACATCAATGTTAGTGATTCCAAGTTGCTCTCTGCGTTCCAAGCATATCCGAAGCATTCCTATCAATCAAATTATCCTTGACCCTGCGAATAAACACAAGTATATTATCGAAGAGAAACTTTCAACAAATAACACTCTTTCCAAAGTAGCAGCTCCATATTTCGGCGAAGAAGAACCTCTTGCATTGGATGTCGATGACAAACATCTGAAAATTGCTAATCCCAAACGGTTTAATCCTTCTGTTTTGATGAAAAACGTATAGCTGAATTAGAGGATAAAGTAGAACAACTAAATAAACACGTGAAGTCGTCATCCAGATACGAACAAATCAAGTACTACCTTGGAGATGAAAAATACTATTCAGACGACAAGTATTTATACACAGCGCGCAATGGAATTGTGTATGCTGCGAAAATCAATGGCACATTAGAACAAACCGAAGACACAGAAGAGTTTATCAAATCGAGTTGGAAAAAGCCAGACCTACTGCATTTCTTGATGCTTGGACAAAAGCGACTCCAAACAAAATTGTTGGACGTGTTGACCAAGGAATCCATAGAAAAAGAAATACATTTTTAAAAAGGATGCTGAACAAGCCCACCAAAAAATTCATCGTCACTAACATACGACTTTGAATCTTCATCCTCACGATCAAATGAACTTTGTACAAATTCAGTCTTTCGTACATTTTGTTGGATGGCTGCCAGATCTTCTAATGCCGGTAACTCTTTACACGTCCTGAATGAGTTGATCGTTAGAATCGATTGAAGTTCAAAGACTTTATTTGATGGATACTTGGAGTATGCATCAACTCGCATTGAGTTTGGAGAGAGCACGACCATTGTCCATTTATCTTCATACCTTTTCCCTAGTAATATCATTTCATTCAGAATAACCACAAAATTGGATTGTAGTTTATGTGTATTGATAATTTTGACTCTGTTAGAATTCCACCGTAAGTGTGACAACAGTGCCAGCGAACCTTTTGTTTCTCGGTTGTTCTTTTCGGCCCACTCCAATAGTTTGCATTTTGTAATGATATGGCTTTTAAAATCTTCGGGTTTCACCATTTCTTCACAAAAGTAGCATTTAGATGCGGCGTAAATGCAAGTCACTACGTGATTCTCCAAGTTCCATTCAAACACAGAATTTGCACATAAAGAATGAAGACATTCTGTTAGATATTCACGTAAGTCTCTTTCCAGTAGTTTGTTTTTAAACAGGCTGTTGTCTCTACAGGATGGACAGCTCTCAGACTTAAATTTCGTTGAACACACAAGGCAAACAAAATGCAGTGCACCATTATATTGGTAAAAAGGAGGGTGTATGAATTCAAAACAGATGATACATCGTAGGTTGTCGATTTGAATTGTATGTTGGATGATAATTTCTTTGTTTTCGCTCATTTTATACATCTACTATAGATTTTAATATTTCTTAATCCGACTTCATAGCTCCTATTATACATTTAGCGGGAATTCCGGCTGGAAATCAAAAACGGTATTCTTCGGTGCTCTACCCTTACTACTAGTATTTGAATGGAATTTATAGTAAACAATGGAAATTACAATTATAAACTAATATTACAATTTTAAGGTTTTGATAAGCCTCAATATTACAATTATAACTTTGTTAAAAAACAAACACATTTATTTCATTCATCGGATAGCATAGCATAGATTTTTCCAGTGATATCGACAAGAGAATCTGTACTAGGTTCACCTCCAGGCAACAACTTGATGGAACATTCGTCCATCTCAATCTTTTCATCAAGACTACGCAAGAAACTCCACTGCGCATAGTTGGTAACAATTCCATAGACTGAATCCAAATGACCAATCTCTGCTGCTACTTCACATCCAATCAAATTCTGTGTCATTCCCTGATCCATATCTTCCTTCTTTGCTTCGACGATATAAACTCTTTTCTTCCCACGACGTAATACAAATTCAAAATGGCCATGAGCTTTCAAGAAATCTCCGTTCAAATCTTCCTCTACTTCAATTTGAACATCTCCGTTGAACAGGAAACACACACAAATGATGATTGGTGCAATCAAATGAAGTCTCTGAGGTCCCATGAATGATATAACTGAACCAAAGCACTTTGTGGCAAACGACAAATACTGTGTGAGAATATTGAATTGAGTATCTGGAATAGCCTTTGAAGATTGGATATAAGGAGTAGTTCGTAGTACATCCTTGACCTGATTCCAAGAAACATACGAATATGCTGTTGAATCAGTCGCCTTGGATTTCCTTTTGTTCTTTTCAAGAATTTCATTGAGTTGTTCCCATCTTTCTTTTCGTTTAGGATGAGGAGCTTTTAAGCTAGATTTTGACAAAGAGCGACTCCCTAAAGAACTGTCTGCAACAGTGATGAATAGAGGAGTCTTTGCTGTATTCTGAGCAGGAATAGGGTCGTCTGGTTGTAAAGGAGTACCACCATCCGTAGTGGAAAGGGAGAGTTGGTCAATTGCATAGGAATCAAAGTGAGGAGAGAGCTCCTTCTTGCAGGCTTTAAGAAGGTCATCTACAATCTCGCAGTCTTCAGTAGATACCTTTGTAGCGTTGTTTGGCTTGAATTTGACCCAAAGTTTTGTCATTTTTTCAAGTTTTTTTTCCTCAAATAAACTGAAAAATGACAAAATTATACTTCAAAACACCAACACTTTGATACACTGCTCACTATTGACCAATTTAAAGGCAAGACTATTTCAGCTCTGAAATGTGCGATAAAAGAAGCAGTTATGCCTGCTTTGCAGACTTCTATTTGCAATTTAGATTTGAAAATAGGAAACTCGATTATTGAAATATTAAGAGCCTCTGATTTGAAGGATGTATTAGAAGAAGCTCAAGTTTCAATCACCAACACAATCATAGTGATTCCTTTAGTGACTTACCTGGACCAATGCATTTTGTGTTTTTGCTTTTCATTTGGTTTAGGACTTGGTTATTCTGTCACTGTCTTTTTGGGACTGACAATGAAGTGGAAGAATATCATCATCCATTTATTGCTGATGTCATATTCCTCATTATTGATATGACTGGCTTAGGATGCTCTCTATACACTATTTGGCAGTTGATCTGGCAAGCAACAATGGAATTCACAACTTACATCTGTTTTCGCTGGAGTTTTCTGTAGTCTTCTTGTAGAACCATCTTACCATTCCTGAAAAGGTAATAATAAGTTTTAGTAAGAATCATCCAATAAACGTTAAACAATAACTGGCATTATCTGATCGTGGTTACTATTTAACTTTACTATCCGATCTTGGCATAGCGGCAGGATCCATTTAAAACATTAGTATGAGTCCCGCACAAATAGCTCCTGATAATTCAAACTTGAATGCGATCACTCTTAGGTTTCTGACCTTGATGCTCATCTCTGATAACTTGTTATTTTGACAATTTCAGAGCAAATTTAGTTGTGAACATCGGTTGAAAAACTGGTATTATTTGGTGACCATATGTTGTTTATAGTATTGAGAATATTGGGAATATTGAATCAACATTGAATCTATTCAACATACCATGTCACACTGTACATTGGTGTTGATGCATGACCAAATGGTTGATAGTTTATGATGTATACACAACAAATAGTTGTTACAAACCATGATTTTCTACATCAAAAATATGAATCTTGCAAAATCGATATGCATTGTTGCTATTAAAACCATTCACTACGCTACCACTGTTATTTCCAAAGCTGTTGAATTGATTGAAATCGTAACTAAACAAATCTACTGAAATATGTCCAACAAAACAATCATGTCAAATATGTCGAATGTGATTTATTGATCAGCTGTCCATGAGCCATGAACAATGAACGATGATAAATAGAATGAAACTTTGCGGCTTTGATTTGAACATTGACAACTATGCAAGTTGATTTCAAGTTTACTGTGTGCATTGACACATGGTCACACATTGACAGATCAACAGATTACAGCTAGCGACAATATGAATCAACTTTGGATGATATATATTTATATTTCAACAACCATTTTGACATGGTTTGAATCACTCGGACAAATCAAATACATGACCAATTGGACAATCAGTCAAATATTTGGTATACAGTGACAGTATATGTTGTGGTGATGGATTGTATGTGTGATGATAAATATCCATAATCAGGGTGACAATTTGATACTATCTGATCACTGGATACATGATCGCAATTGGAGAGATCAACACAATATACTACTGAGGTTGATCATACACCAACAACGATGCTTGTATATTGATTCGCCCTACAGGGTGTTTCTGGGTTTGTCAGAATATCCGTTTGGAGATTGCCGATTGTCACCCTTGAAGTTGCCGTCATTATAAAACGGCAGTCATCTACCGGATTCAACCCATTTTCATCACACTACTTGATACAATGCTGATCACTCTAGAATGCGTTCTATTTGCGTTGCAAGCGGTTGCTGCAGTTCGAGTTTCATTAGAATCACCTTTTGAAAGTACCAGTCAATCAAGCAATAGGCTGTCAAAACGATCACCCGTTGAATTGGGTGGTGACATTAGCCGATGTTTCCGAATAAAACTCTATGTTAATGGAGTCGATGTATGTATCATGTCATACATTGTAGTTTGATATCAACTTACACCACGTTTAATCAATCTCACACTTGTTTAAAATAGTTGGGTTTACAAGTCGATTCAGCGATTTCCAGTATAGTCGTACCACTTCCTAGTTCAAGCAGCGATGTGAGTTTGACTCCGCAACACACTCCAAGTGGAGAGCCCGTTACTATAAAGTACAAAGGCGATGAGTATAATGGGATTACTTCCACAGCCGATGTGACGATTCCGGGTACTAGGATAACTGACATCAATTTACCAGTAATAGCAGTTGAAAAACAATCGGCAGATCTAGTTGGTATCGATCCAAATCTTGATGGAATATTTGGGTTTGGCTATCCCTTGTTATCAAAACATCATTCACGAATCACTGCGATGGATATTTTGTACAGCAATAATGTCATTCCCAATAACGAGATTAGTATTCAACTATGTCCGTATGATATGACTTCAGATAGCTTCATCAATATAGGAAACACGGAAATAACTGCAAAATGCGGAACGGATGGAAAAAGTGTTGCGTGGATACAATCACCAACAACCGATCATCATACTGTCAACATCAAGAATATACTAGTCAATGACAAACAAGTGGATCTACCCGAGGAATTCCAGCAAGTTGTGGAAAATGGACGTACTTTGTATTCATATCTACAAACATGTTCTACATATATGATTTTCCCTAAAGTAGTCGTGGCTACGTTGGTTGATGCTATTGTTGGTAGTAATGCGATTATTTTTAAAAGTATGTTTAGTAAAAAGCTCAGCAAAAGAGAAATTGAAAACATATTTTGGGAAAACCATCCAATGATTGAATCCACTTATAATATCGATTGGGAAAAGCTGTCGACCATTACAATTACAGTGTTTTCTCAAACCCCCGTAACTGATGACAATCGCAACTCCGTTGTAACAATCAAATTGGGTCCTAGAGACTATATACAGAGATATGATTCTGAAGATTGCAAGTATTTGACAATTGTATGCAATATGTGTTGTTTGATTAACCTGACTAATGTACATGTTGGATTATAGTTAGATTTGCTATAAAAGCTGGTTCAAATGACAAAGCAATTCTTGGTATTCCATTCATGACCCGACTTGAATTGTCATTTGATCGAGCACATAAACGCATTGGGTTTGGTCCTGGATGTGGATGTGAAGTCGCAACTGATGGATATCCTACTATTTCGGACCATTATCGAGTGCTCTGGCCATCATCACAGTAAGTTGTTTGATATTGATGTGTGGATGTGTAGATTGATACTGATCATGAATTTGGTGCATACTGTTAGACTGCCTGAACAACCAAGTACTTCAGGCTCAGATGGTACATTTATTCGCAGAAGGAAACCAACAACTACAACTAATCAAGTAGCTGTACCTGAAAACACTCACCACACTGTCAAGAGTCGCAAACAGACTCTCAATAAACTCGACTGAATACAATTCATTATAGACAAACTGCTACTATATTTATTTCTAATGTGGTGTGTCCATGTTTGATTGTGTGATATGTTCAAGCCGTGTATGTATTGGATCAGTCCAGTGTGTATCGTAGTTGTTTGATACACGATGATCACGCATACTATTGTATTGGTAATACATGGTATTGATTGAATACACATCATGATCGCATAGTTCAGTCACGATCCAATTGACACAAACAGTCGAGTCGTGTAGTTTGGGTTCAGCTCGACACATTTGTATTGTCAATCTCGGACAAAACGTCAAAAGTGAATCAAGGTCAACTGGAACAACCAACAGACTGGATCCAGTATGTGTAGTCGCACTGGGTTGTATATATTGACTACAGTAAACAACTCGAGTGTCATTTTACTGGTTGTGGTTATGGTTATGAGTACATGCCAGTGTTTGATGTATACAGCATTACAATGATGGGTCAGCAACAATATGATGGAACTGGATGTGCAATATCAAACCCATGTCCAGAATACGTGATATAACAACAACTTGCAACCATACTGACGTAAATGGACCACTAAATAACAGTGTTGACATGCAAACAACAGTTACATTACTGATATGTGCAATTATTGTTGTTGAACTAGATTGCAATTGTATCCGTGATTCAAAATACAACAAATGGGTGTGCAGAGTTGTATTGACAACATTGACAGTCCAACACAATACATGAATGTGGGTTCAAACTTGTTGATCGTACAATGCATGATTACTAAGAGTGCACAAAGTGTAGATTCAACACTATAGTCTGACTGTGTCATATGATGATTGTTGTATATCGAACACGCAATGCAGTCAATGTGTAACATCAACCAACCAAACATGTAACTATTGTATATTGCAATGCAGAATACACAGTCATTTCAGGATGAATACAAGTGATCCATTTTACATGAATACGGTTGTAAAAGGGTGCGTTTACAAGGCTACACAACACCTTGAAGGGTGCTTTTCAATATACCTGATAAAAGGGTCGTAAAAGCATAGTTCAATCGACATGATCATCAAATCGATCAATATGATGCTATGAATAGGGAGTAGCCCACTACAAGTAATCAAGTAACCCTGTGTTGCTGGTTAACCTAAAAGGGTTAGGGTTGGTTTAATATACAAAAAGTATAAATACAACCGAGTATGTCCAGTTTTATAATCAACACCAATATCAACAATCTGCCCATCTAACCATCTTCTAAACCCATCCATCAATCTAATGAAGTTCATTGACATTTTATTCGTACTGAGCGCGGCAGCAACCGCTAATGCAATACTGGTTTCAGATAATAGCAATGACTCAGTCCAGGCATCAAGCACTTCCAGTCAAGTGCATAGCCCAACCAATAAGCCTAATCCAGGCACTTCCGGACAAGGCCAGCAATACTTGTATCGAACTGGTCCAAGTGTTCCAAAACGAAGTCGAAAACGCCCAATGAATCAACCCGGTCCAAGTGCTCCAAAACGAAGTCGGGAACAATCAACGAATCAACCCGGTCCAAGCACTTCCAATCAAGACCAGCAACAGCCAATGAACGAAGATGAGTCGGGAAATACTGCTCCAAATCAAGCGGTTGTATTAAGCGAAAGAGACCAGAAAACCTTGGATACTCTAAAGCAAAAAGTTGAAAAGCTTGAAAGAAAGAAAAAGAACATGTGCCAAGCCTATTATAATAGTGTACTTCGTGGATTAAACCAATGGGCAGGGTTGGGAAAAGGCAAAGACAAAAGTATACCTGGGGCAAGGTTCAGCCCAGGAGTTCAACAAAAAATGAAAAAAGATTGCGAAGAACTAGGAGAAGTAGTAGACAGTATCAAACAGCAAGTGAAAAAGTTTATGAAAGGCTATGGTTTGGAATATGAAGAGCCGGATTCAGACGTTGAAAAGTCGAGTTCAGACGTTGAAGAGTCAGATTCTGAAGAGTCGAGTTCAGATTCAGATTGATGATGTGTCAATAAATTTAAACTTTCTGGTGTGTTGATATTTGTCGAGTATTATGAATGGGTCAACAACCATCGTTGATTGCGTACTGCATGTTTGTGTGTACTGTGTTGGGTATTACATCAACAGTTACTGGCTTGTCGATTGATACATCAATGACCTGATAACAACCAGTGTTATTTGTACATGTAACCACCAGTCATACTTGCAATCACTTGTCAGTTGCATGGCTGTATGATACCACCAACCGACCATGTCGTGTATTGTACAACAAACGGAGCAATACACTTGTTGAAAGTCGGATGTAGACTGCGTCATTAACTGGTTCGATATTGGTCAATTGGTGTTGTCAGTTTGCAATGTAATATATGTGGTATTACGACCATGGCATTGCCAGATTTTTGTGAGCTTCGGGTTTGTAGTGTAGATATAATCTGTAACTGTTTGTAGTTATCAGAAGAAACCAAACCAAAAGTGTAATGTGAAGCTGCACAATAGTTCAAGATTAACAGATTTTATCTTTTCAGGAATAGTGAAAAGATGCAATAAAGTAATTACAAGATTGAAATAGTTTGAAGAGTTGTTTATTAATGAGATAGCTATGGGCTCTTTTATAGTAATTGATTGTTTGTGTCTTGTGGCATGACCATGTGGATTGTTTGATAATAAAGGAGGGTTAATTAGAAGGCGTAAAGTGGAAACTACTAGGATCATCACTATACCATATTACCACTTGGGAGTATCCTGCATGGATATTCCAACATAATTTCCATGCAGATGTAACCCAGTTTTTGGATTATAGTACAAGTTGTAGTTTTTTCATAATCCACCATAAGAAAATAAGCTTTTACAAATCAGTTTGAAATGTCTCGAGTCCAACTATGAATCCATTGTCATTAAGCAATTTCATTCCTGTCTTGGTTAATGAATACGTGTTCATCTGATTATTCTCGACTTTGAATCCATTGTTAACAAATTCCTGAGTAGAATTACCTTTTAAAGCATCCACATACTTTTGCTTTGTAATTTCATTTTGTTTCTTGTTAATCCCTTTTGAACTGAATTTGTTTTCATCACAATAGTACATTTTACTGGCCAATGATATAATACAGTTTCCTTCATATTCCAACTTGAACAGACCCGGTGTTCTGCTGTCATACACCTTATTCTCAATGGTATCGTCTCTTTCCAACCACAGATGCCGATTCTTTTTAAATTCATCTTTTAAGCTTGGTTTTATGACTTCTAACGATTCATCAGATATAGCAATGTAAGCTGAATCAGTGTCCATCATACAGTACTGATAATCACTTTTGTCAATGGAATAATCAATAGAGTCGTGATAAAATTGAAGCACTCGTAGTTTCGCTAATTGATACACTTGAAATCTAATATGAATAAGTAAACTTTGTTTGAACGACATCTTTTTGAAACGAAACTCGCATCTTTGGTTAAGGTCTTGATGTTCAATGTAATTATTCCTTCTAATGTTTTTGATGTAGTTATCTCCAGTAACAATCTTGACTGTTTCGTATTTCAAGAAATCTGTGATACATTTACCATAAGATGAATTTCCCATCAATTTCATCATTTCTCCACGTAATTTATAACCAGGACTTGTATCTCGGACTCTTCTTTCATTTGATACTTGCTCAGAAAACGACTTGAAATGTGCTTTACGTTCATATCTTACAGCAAAAGTAATATTTGAAACAACCAATCCATGCTCAAGATACCATTTCAGCAGTTTAGTAGCAAACATCATCGTCTCACCAAACATACTTTCAACTAATCTGTTACTTTTGTAATCTGGTTTGACATGTGCCGTTGTGTCAGAGCTTAAATCATTGCATGTAATCTCAACATTCTTGAAAATAAGAGGCATTCCAGCAAAGTATTCCTTTAAATGCTCAGGAACAGCAATATCACATTCTATCATTCCAAAGAACGTGTTATCCAAGACATCTTTCAGAATATCGGGATAGACTTGAACTACTTGGTGCTCACCACACGGCATATCTTGACTTATCGCCCACAGATATAAAGCATTGGTATCATATCCAAGTATTCCCTGACAAAGCTTTCCTTTTCTAATTCTGGTCGTCTTTTTCTTGATAATGATGAAATACGATACTTGGTCCACCAACCAGATTATCTCTGTATTTGTGATACAATTCGTCATTCCCTTTGAATAACTGAAACTTGCAGTCTTTGCTTTTTGTGTGCCAGAGATATTTCAGAGTGAGTCTAGGAACAAAGATGCCGTTTTTGTGGATATCAAGATTCAACGACTGAAAGAAATTACCCAGTTTCTTTGTCGCTTCTACGCCTGGCTTCACATCCAAATTGTTGTAGTCGTTCAGCAAATCATACAGGTTGGTGTGAGTGAATACCATTTCATTATAATCGTTTGATGAAACTGATTCTCCCTTTAGATTGTTGTAAAACCACTTTTTAGATGGAATATGTGAGTGTTTTAAGAACTTGAATGATATCAGAATATTGTGTCAACTCTGGATGTTCATCAATGTATTTCGATAAATTCCGAGTTACTTTATGTGGAAATATTCCCATTTGTGATTGTGTGTCAAACATTTTCAAGAACTTGTCAAATAAAGTATTTGGTGGTTGAAAAGCAAGAATGTCTTTAAAAGCAAACGATCCATTTGATATCATTCGGTATTTGTTACATTTAATAATGTCATTCACTTGACCGTTTTCAGCTGAATGAAACTCACAACCCCAAATTGATCTTGTGGTATATCCCATTTGTTTGAGAGCTGTTTCCTTGTTTGCTGTCTTTTCATACAATATGTTCATCGTATCTCCAGTTAAAGGATTGATATCTTCTGATTTGTGACACTTTCTACATCAGTGGAAAAAGCATCCCAGAAAGTCATAGATTGTGTTTGATTCTTCATCGTAGCCATCAACATTGTATCGTTCAATCTTTTCGCTTTGTTCAATATTACGACCTAATTCTCCTTCAATTGAATTAATCTCAAAGCTTTTCGCATTTGGATACATTTCCATGTTTTTAGAGTGTTTCAAGACTTGTGGAGGGTATTTCTTGATGATGTCGATGTCATATGATGAGCTACTGAAGCCATAAATAGGAAGAACACCAAGCCATTCTAGTAATTGTAATCTTAATCGTTTCTGAACCTTTGCATCGTCCAAATTGGCCATCATTC